CCCAGGGATTGTTGGAGTACAAAACTCCTTTCCTTCCTCCTCCTTCGCTCTGACTCCTCTACCTCTCTCCTCCTCCTCCTCCTCCCTCCCTCCCTTCCTCTCCTGACTCCTTTCCCTCGCCTCCCCAGTCCCATCATCCTCGTCCCTGTTTCCTCATCCTCGTTTCCCTCCCTCCTCATTCTTCACCTCCTCCCTTCCCCTCACTCCCTCATCTCATCTCCTCTCCTCTCCTACCCTCCTCTCTCCCTTCCTTTTTCCTCCTGTCCTCTCCTCCCCTCCCCTCCCCTCCCCTCCCCTCCCCTCCCCTCCCCTCTCCTCCCCTCCCCTCCCCTCTCCCCTTTCTTCCCCATTTCTCACCTCGGTAACAAGCCAGAGGGCGACGCGCTCGTCTTGTTGCCCTGCGAAGTTCCTGTGGCAAAAGCATGAGGCGAGGACGAGGACGAGGACAAGGACAAGGACAAGGACAAGGACAAGGACGAGGACGAGGACGAGGACGAGGACGAGGACGAGGACGAGGACGAGGACGAGGACGAGGACGAGGACGAGGACGAGGACGAGGACGATAGATGGCAGATAGTTCGAGTGCGGCGGAGGAGAGGTGAGTGTTGGAGCTCTACCTGGACGAGAACCGGCGCTGGGAAGGCTCAGCTTCTTAGCTGGATAAGAGTTAAGTCGGGGGCGGGGGGGAGGAGCAGGAGCAGGAGCAGGAGCAGGAGCAGGAGCAGGAGCAGGAGCAGGAGCAGGAGCAGGAGGTGGTGGTGGTGGAGAAGGAGGAGGAGCAGCAGCAGCAGCAGCGCCGGGGCGGGGAGGGAGGTGTTATAAACTCACATGAAATCACTGGGTTGAGAATGGCTTTCTCGTCGATTGCCTGAAATAAATTAACAAGACCAGAACAGAAAAGCCGAAGAGGAGAGAGAAAAGTGAAGAGCAAGGGAGAGGATGGAGACGAGAAGAAGACAAAGGGAAGAGGAGGAGGAAGAGGACGACGACGACGACGACGAGGTGCAGGATCAGGAGAAGCAGCAGCAGCAGCAGCACGAGCAGCACGAGCAGCACGAGCAGCACGAGCACGAGCACGAGCACGAGCACGAGCACGAGCACGAGCAGCAGCAGCAGCAGCAGGATATTGACCTGAGTCTCATGTAGTACGCTTGAGATGACATCTGAGCCGGGGAGGACAGCACCGCTGAGAGGTCGACGAGACTTGATCCTCCCGCTCACAGGACGAGCAACGGGGGCAGACTGGGGGCGGAACGAGGAGGAGGAGCCGAGGGTGGGAGGAGGAGGGGGCAGAGCAGAACCAGTGTGAGCAGAGGACTGCGCCCTGCTCTGCTTGACGTCCTCGGGGAGGTCAAGGCCAGCTGCTGTCATCGCCTCCATCAGCCGCTCGTTCTCCTCCACGGACTTTTGAAGGGAGGCTGAGCATTCTATGAAGCGCCGCTTCCAGTAGGACAGAACGCTCTGCTTGTCGTCGACGGACTCGAAGTACTCCTCCCACCTGAAGTCGTTTCTCAGCTCGTCGAGCTTCTGGAAGGCCTCCAGCTTGAGCCTCTGTTCCTGCTGCAGCTGCTTTCTCAGCTTCTCCACCTCCTTCTTGCTGTTCGCGTCCAGCATGGCGCGATGCCGCGCGATGTCCGTGGGGTCATGGGCGTGAAGGGTCTTGAGTTCCGCCTCCTTCCTCTCGATGTCCAGCAGCAGCTTGTCAACGTCGTGGCCTGACCATTTCTCGTACTTCTTGACCTTTGCCTGATGTGGAGCTTGTCAGAAGAGCGAGCGAGCAAGAGAACGAGGGAGGGAGGAAGCGGGCGAGGGAGCAAGCGTGGGGGAAGGAAACACAGGCAGGCAGGAAGGCAGGAAGGAAGGAGGAGAGTGAAGAAGTCGCGAGCACCTCGAGGTCCGCCAGCTGCTGGCTCTTGGCCACCTTCCACGTCAGCAGCGACTGCTTGTTCCTGTTGGCAAGGTCCAGCTCCTTTCTCAGCTTGTCCCTCTCGGCCTCCGCGGCCGCCAGCGCCAGGTTAGTCTCCTGCAGCCTAGTCTGCATGACCTCCATCTGCTTCTGCGTCTCCGCCTTGTCCTGGTAGAGCTCCCGGGATGCCTCGAGCTTCTCAGTCTGCATCACCTGGAGGCGCTTGTCGTAGCTCATGCGGATGCTGAGGTCCTTGACCGAGTTCATGGTCCTGACCTTGAGGAGGGCTCGCTTCAACTCCGAGTTCTCGATCGTCAGGTCCTCGATCGTGTCCTCCGTATGCGCCATCTTCAGCGTCATCCTCTTCAGCTCGATCGGAGCTGAGCCGGTCTTAGCGAACTTAATCATGGCCTCCTTCTTGATGTCGTGGAGATTTGACTTCATGTCCTGCTGCAAGCTCTCCCTGTACTCCTTGAACTGCGACCGCACCATGGTCAGCTGAGTCCCGAGGTCCTTCACCAAGTCCTCGAACTCGATCTTCAGCCTGTCCCTCACGCTCTTCTCCATCTCCGCCAGGTTCTTGTTCGACTCCTCCAACTTTCTCTCCAGCGTGTCGATCTTGAACAGCAGCGAGTAGCACTGGTCCTTCACCGCAACGTCGATCCTCCTCGCCATGCTCTGCTGCTCCCGCTCCCGCAGCGCCTCCTTGTACTGCATGTTCCGCTCCTGCAAGTACAGCAGGTGCTTCAGGTTCACGTTCTCCATCTCGATGCTCCTCACTGCCTCCTGCGTTCTCGTCTCGTTCCATGCGCGGAGGCGGCTAGCGAGCACATCAATGAGTTGGTAGAAGTTCTCCTTGCTCAACACCAGCACCATCCTTCCTCCTTTCGTGGTCTCCTTCTCCTCCCGCGCGCACGAGCGCACAGCCTTGAGGAACTCCACGAGCATCTCCACCTTCCCCTGCTCCTCCCTCGCCTCCACCACAGTCTGCGGCTCCCGCACGCTCTCCTTCCTCCCCGTCCCCTTCTGCGGTCCAGCAAGCGCCATCTCGTCGATAGCTGATGTAGCAGCGGCATGGCGCCTCATTGCCGCTGCCGTCTCCTGGCTCAGGAAGAACTTGCAACACTCGTCGTGGAGGATCCGGACGAGAAAGATCCTTTGCGACAGCTCCGTACTCAGCAACTCTGCATCCATCATGGCCTTCTCAGCAACCTTCGCCTTGGCACTGCTGGTGTTCGAGTCCCCCGAGATCAGAACCGCCGCCTGATGGTCCGCCTGCGTCTTCTCTGCCCTGACCTTGGCCAGCGCCAGTCGCTTCAGCACCCTTTCCTCGTACACCTTCATCCACTCCTTGAGCTCAGTCGGGTCCCGAGGCTCCTGGATTTTCAGGTACAGCCTGCTGAGTTCATCCCGCATCCTGTTGAGCTCCAGCGTCGTCCTCACTACCTCGTTCTGCACCTGCACGGCCTGCAGGGGAGCTGTCGCTAGAAAGATTCCTCGCTGCTGCATCGTGTCGAGGAGAGTACCTTCTATCTTTTCCCACTCCAACTTGAGCATCGTCCTCTCGCTCTCCGGGAGTGACGTCAAAGGCAGGCCGACCTCGCAGTAAGGCTCGGGGATGGGAGAGTAGAGGAAGGGGCCCTTGTCTATCCTGGCAGAGGAGAAGGAAAGTTCTCCACCGTGCGGGAAGGAGATGGGGAACGAAGCGGGAGGAGGATGTAGGGGGTATTCCATCTCGTGCATCGCGGTCTTGACCACCGGCACATGTTGGACGAGCTCTGGATCAGCAAGGAGCTTGTGCTGGAGGCCTTGCAGGGAGAGGAGGTACTTGCCCAGCAGCAACTCCTGCATCATGTTGAGGAAGGATGCCACGTCGAAGACTCTAGAGCTGTCGGGCAGACCGTCGATGTTGGACTTGACCTGTCCCAGGAACGCCTGTACCTTCTCGTACCCAACCACTGAGTCCCTCGTGCTCACCAGCGGCACAGGCAGGGCGCGAGCGTACGCCGACATGATGGTGAAGAGGTTGTGAAGGGCCCAGAGGCAGTGGAGGTAGGAGGAGAGAGTCCTTGGCTCCTTCGGGAGCTCGTCCAGCACCTCGATGGGGTGGGGGATCCGCCACAGGCTGACCAGGCTGAGGTCGCTGGCGAAGATGGACATATCTTTGCCGCTCTCATCCGCCACCTCCAGCGGCCGGGCCTGCGTGATGGTAGAGGCCTGGGGGTCCACGCTCTGACTGAAGAGGAGGCGGGGCTTCGGGAGGCGGATCGCCTGGCGGTAGAGCATGTCGGCGACACGGGAGATGAGGGGCTTGACAGAAAAGACTTCGAGGTCGGAGAGGAGGGCCTTGAGGTACTCGTCGAGGAGCTCATACTTGAGGGCCCGGACCTGGTTCTTGGCATTGGGGCCCGAGGAGGGAATGGAGGCAGACTTGTGGTTGAACTTGTCAAGGATGTTCTCCCTCCTATGAATCTTGAGCTCCCTGACCTGCAGGAAGTGATCGCTGATCTTGTTCACCTCCTCCTGCTGGAACTTCTTCACCTCCTGCGCAATCTTCGCGTTCCTCTCCGCTATCTCCGCCGCATCCTGCTTCTTCTTCGCTGTGGGAGCGTTCAGAGGCACAAACCCCTTGTGCCCTCCCCCTGCTGAGAAGGAGATGGAGGAGGAGGAGCCGGTAAGCGCGTCCTCCTTCAGTATCACTGACTCCATGCACCGATCCAGGCATGTCTGGTTGTACTCGATCGCCACCACGAGTGTTCCCAGCTCCAGAGCCTGGAAGCGGAGGGCCTGGCGGAGGGCGAAGACCCCCCCAAGGTTCAAGATTTCCTTGATCCCGTCATAAGTCTGGAAGTCGAACATGGCCAGTGACGTGTCAAACTCAGCGATGGCCAGGTGGGTCACCGAGTCAGCCCCCATGCTCGAGACCTCGTCGGGCGGCGCTCGCATCCTCGAGCCGCCGGAGACGTCGGAGGGATGGGCGAAATCGAGAGGAGCAGGCTGCCGTCCCACGTCCTTCCCGTAGGTCTCAGCCTGCATCCTGTAGGAGAGCTGAAGGATGTCAGTCTCGTACGAGTAGTCGAGCAGCTTCTTCCTCAGGATGACCGCCTCGATGGCGTCCATCTGAACCTGAAGTAGAGCATTCTCGTGTATGTCCTCCTCGAAGAGCAGCGTCTCCTCTGACGCAACAGGTCGTTTCGGGTCCGACTTCTTCGCTTGCTCCTGCTTCTTCGCTGAGCTCTCGTAATCCTTCCTCCTTGTCATCGCGACGTCGTCAATGATCTCCTCCACAGCAAACGGGTCATCGATCACAAAGCTATTTGCATACGGCCTGCTCCCTGTGCCCGCCGCCTTCTTCCGTATCTCTTCGGCGAGGTCCTCCTCCTCAAGCAGCAGCCTCCACTCTATGAGCCCCTGCTGCAGGATTGCCGTCCTCATCGCTGCTGTGCTCGATCCAGGCTTGAGCTTGTGCACGAAGACCATCTCGTTCAGCACGGCGTTGAGGAGGTCGTTGAAGCCGAGCAGATTGTCAAGACTGTGATAGACGTCGAGGATCCCAACCCCGTAGCTTCCGGGTGTGGGGTAGACCAAGTCAATCTCGCAGAGCAGGTGCTCATGGGTGACAGGCTGGAAGAGCTCGGGGGGGAACCCCAGCATCTTGTCCTTGGGGCGGGTAGAGTTCCGAGCAGCGATGGTGTTGCGATACAACCTCTCCTCCCCCATCTGCGCTATCATCATCTCCCGCAAGAGGGAGGCCTCCATCTGCACAGCGACGGTCTCGTTGGAGTACGACTCTACCATGTACGGCACGTCAAGGTCCAGCAGGGGCCGGCGGGCCATCACGTCCATGATAGTCTGCGCCATCCTTGCCTGACTGTCCTTGTCCACACAGTGCTCGTACGACTCCAGGTAGACGTCCACCACGAGCTTCAGGCTCTCGTAGTAAGTCGCCTCGCTCTGGTACAGGTCCTCAAGGAGCGAGACACGGTCTGGGACTCCCTTCTCCTTGAACTTGGTCTCGAACAGCTTCAGGTAGTGCTGCCCGATCCTGATCATCCGATCTTGGACTATCTTCAGGTCTTCTACGACGACATCGTACAGGATCTGCGTGCCGGTAGCATCTCTGACCCTCACAATGTCCTCTGAGTCGACCGAGTACGAGTCGTCCCGACTCTGGACGGACTCGTACGTCATCACCTCCTCCACAGACTTCACCGACAGGTTCGGGTCAGATTTGAGCGATTCATGTCGCTTGGCAGAGAAGCTGTCAGCCTGGTGTGAAGCATGATCCAGCGAGATGGAGGATTCCTTGGTCAGCTCTTCATGCATCGTCCGGTCGGACATCTCCGACCTCACCGAGGGCTCTGACTTCTTCGACGACAGGGGGAACGCGAAACCGAAGGCATCGAGGCACAACCTCCTCTCCACAGACCGGAAGTAGTTCAGCACTCCCGTCAGCCTCCTCCGCGCTTGCCTAATCTGCAGCAACCGCATCTGGTATAGGGGAGCAAGGCGCTCGGCTGGCAGGCCTTGGTTCCCTGACGTTGCAGTCGCCTTCACACCTCCCATCAGCGCCTTGCCAGTACCCAGCTCGGAGTCAGCTTGCGCGAACGCACGGTCCATATGGGTCATGATCTGCTCCGAGAGCCGCTTCTCTACAACCTCCAGGTCGCCCTCCAGCACGGCCTCCGCCTCCGCTCGCAGCAGGTGGTCCAGGTCAGTCTCGCGCATGCTCATGAGGTATGCCTCCTGCTCCTTCTGCATGGTGCCGACCACAGGCTTCAACGGCATCTGCTTCCTCCATCCCGCCGGTTTCATGAAAGTCGTTTCGATCTGAGCCTTGTCCACGCCCGAGATCAGCCCTCCCGTCTTGCCCCGCTGCAAATCGTCCGCCTCCCCGAAGCTCGGCACAGGCATGTACTTGCCTACGAGCGTCGTATCGTAGGGAGGGAAGGTGAAGTCAGCCGTCTGGATGACGTGCAACTTCGAAAGGAGAGTCTTCATGGTGTAAGAGAACTGCTGCGCGTTCTCAGTGTCGAGCTCGGCGTAGGCCTTCAGATGGACTTTGAGGTTGTTGAGAAGGGAGGTCAGCCTTTCGACATTGGTGACCATGGTAGGGACACGAACTCTGCCGGACCCAGCACCCAACGAGCTGCTCGCCTGCTGGAGCTGAAGGTGGTCAGCCACGTCGGAGGAGCCGGACCCGTTTGACAGGAGCGACTTGGACTTGCGCAGGAGATTGTAGCGCTGGGAGTAGACCAGCCATTGAAACTTGGCAAAGAACCTTGATACCTTCTTGTGGAGTCTGACTTCGCTGACCATCCACCTGAGGAACATCTGCAGGGCTGACTTCTCCAGCGGCATCGTCACTGCCAGCTGGACTTCAGCATCGTCCAGTCGCGGGGCATTCTTGGACTTTGACATGGCTTCCAGGCTTGCAAGGGACTGCGGGTCAGTCTTAGAAGCAGCGATCGCTCTCAGTGCCACGGGGAGCTTTTGATTCATCTTCAACATGTCTTCCTTCAATACCGCATACTCATCATCCAGTGCCTCCAGCCGACCACGGAGCAGCTCCGAGACTTTGTCGAGCATTTCTGAATTCCTACAGTGGTTGGCAACTCGGCGCAGGTAAGCATACTTCCTCCTTGCGATCCTCTGGCAGTGGTCGGAACAGAACTTCATCAGCATCGGCCCCATCACCTCGACCGTGTTCATCCTCTCCTTGAGGCGCTTGAGATCTTGCTCGAGGAGCTGCTGGGCATGGGAGCACTCGTGCGGCTTCTGCGATCCACTCTTGTGTCAGTTGGCTAGCATGACGAGCACGAGACAAGAGGTGAACATGAGCACTCACAGGAAGCGTTGAGTGAGCTTGAGTCCACTGCAACCTCTTCTTGCGGAGTTCCAGGATGTCCACGACTTGGTGATGCTCGGGCAGGTGAAACCTGGACGACAGCTGATTTGGAACCGACCAGTACTCGATCCGTTTCTGCCTGAGCTCTTTCAGCTCCTTGTCCATCTGGAAGCACAAGAAGGATCAGTCCTTGTCATACAGCAGAGGATTCGTAAGAGATGTATGTGAGAGGAGCTATGTGAGAGGAGGCGAGTGAGAGCGGATGAGACTTGGTCTCCCACCTGCTCCAGCTGAAGCTCCATGATCCTCTGCTCTGCGGTGATTCTGGAATCAGCCATGTCCGCGAAGACATCGCTGTTCGGATGCTTGACGTGCAGTTTGAGGAGGAGCCTGCTTAGATCATCGTCCTGGCCTTCTTCATTCTTTCTGGGAGTTGCCATGACGACTTCGTTCACTGAATTTGGGTGAGTTATTCCGCCGACGGCATCTACCAGGTAGCACGTGTGAGACTTTGAAGGACAGGTTTCCTCTATGGCGATCTTTGAGGTCCTTGACCTCGAGTGTCATCGGCTGTACTGACGTTCATCCTTCCATCGTATCCTCTCTGCTCTACTGGATCCTACACAAGCGCTCCAACAATACTCATGGTATGTCCTCTCAAATCATGTCCATCTCCTGTTCTCGTAGTCCTCCTACTCAAAATCATCATCATGTCCTCCTTCTCATCCTCCCCTTCACTCCCTCTCCTCCTCTCCTCTCTCTCCTCCTGCCCCTCCGCTCTCCTCCTCTCCCCCTCGTCTCTCCCTCTAACCGCCATTGCTCGGTTGCCTAGGAACTTCAAAAGGAACTGCTAAGGAAAGTAGGACTGTATTTGCTGCCCCCGAAATCTTTTACCACCCCCGGAGAAATACATCCCATTTTGATAGCATACCCCTACTCTTCAACTACATACCCCCTTCATATCCTAAAAGTACCCACATGAGTACAGTGCGTACAGTAACACTACCGGTATTGATACTACCCCTACCCGCAACAAATATACTCCTTGTTTACTACCCCCACCCTTCGTAATTTGAATCTTTTAAGGGGTCCAACATGGGGCGTTGTAACTGGAATGAGGGGGATGAGTTAAATCTTCGGAGACGAGGGGGGACGAGGCGAAAAGCATTTCACGCCGTCGCAATGGTAATGCAGCAACCCATGAGCGAGGGAGGGGGAGGGGAGGACGGGGACGAGGACGAGGACGAGGACGAGGATCAGTAGAGTGATGAAGAGAAGGAGGATGAGGTGGGGGAGGAGGAAGAGAGGAATGGGAAGGAAGTCGAGGACAATGTGAGGAAAACAACATTACGATGTGTTTTGGGTGACGTTGGCTCGAATCCCTGAGATAGAACTTTTGACGTGGGCTGAAATATGTACTCCATCGACGTTATTCTGCTTCTACATGTTATGCGCGGGGATTCACGGGCGAGCATGTCTGACTTTGAGATGAAGGCGGTGTGGAAGAGGTACCGTACGGATGACACAGGGATGACTTACTACCACAACGAGAGGACAGACGAGACTGTTTGGGAGGTGCCTGAAGGGGAGGAAGTGATCGACGGTGAAGGTAACTTCCTGCATGCTTGACGAGGGGACGAAGCTGACTGACTGCGACTCGCAGTGGATGACGAGGGAGAGGAAGGCTCGCAGCCAGGCGGAGATCGGGGGGGAGAGCGCCCCTTCGGTGCGCGATACGACGAGGCCATCCAAGTGCTGCAGGTAGATACCTTGAGACTGTTTCGATCCGACATCCACTGATCGTGCTTGGTCCCTTGTCTTGTTGTGTAGAAAGCAAAGCACTACGAGGATATGCATGAGATTGGCAAGGCGATTTCATGTTACAAGACCGCGGCAGACAAATTCTTAGTGCTGGCAGAAGCAGATTCGGAGGAGATCGGGAGCGCGTTGACGAAGCAGGTGGGGCACTACGCGCATCAGTGTCTAGAAAGCTGCAAGATGCTCTCGAAGAGCATGGACAAGGCCCACGTGAACCTCAAGTACGTCTTGAAGGAGATCTACACGTCGGAGAAGTCCTACTACGAGGACCTCTCGGCGTACGAGGGGACCTATCACTCCCAAGTGAAGGCAGACCTGGAGTCAGTCCGGCCCGTGATCACGCGCCTTGACGAAGACCTGGTGTTCGGGGAGCTGCCGCTGATCTTGCGGCACAGCCAAGGGTTTCAGTTTAACATGGACGAGTGCTTTCCGACGGAGCTCTTCGATTTCATAGTTGGGAAGGGGGACAACGCGCCGCTGAGCAAGGAGACTATGTGGCTGATCCTGGAGAAGATAGAGAAGAGCATGGCGGAGCTCCACTACTACTCCAAGTACGTGGAGAGGCTGGCGGAGGCGCAGGAGATCGTTCAGAAGTGGAGGAACGACGAGGAGTCTGGTTTCTTCAACTACGAGAAGTCCCAGGAGAAGCCGCTCACCCACTACCTGATCCTCCCATTCCAGCGCATCACGAGGTACCCGTTGCTGTTCAGAAGGATCAAGGAAGACTGCCTGCCTTGCCTTGACACCAAGGCGATCCATACCATCAACTCCATCCTGTCCAAGGTGGAGGCAGCGGCAAAGATCGCCAACGACACGGTAGCGCGTGGTGAAGACTTGAAGAGGATTCAACTGATCCTTTCGAGCATGGACGTTCCTTTCGATTCTAGATGTGTGTGGCAGGGTCAAATGTTGGTTCTTCCCAGCGAGATGTCAAATCAGACCGAGCACCACAAACTGGCGAGTGAACTCAAGTCCTTGTACACAAGAAATGTATATGTCTTCAGCGATGGGATGATTGTGGTAGAGCGGAAAGGGAAAACTCCTGTAAGTTCGAGTTGAGCGATGTGGATTACAGCTCAGGCCCATGTTCCCGCATCTTGGTTGACACCATTCCTCAGGCGGATTGTAATGTGCACGTCAAGGACTTCAAGTCAGTGGAGAAAGTGAAATTTCACGGTGAAAGAGCTCTCGTCTCATGGAACCCCCAATATGCCTGACGATCCCCCGCGACAGGCTCAGCAGAGCTAGCGGTCAACTTGCACTTCAAGGATGGAACGATGGACCTGTTTCTGGCGACCTGCGCAGATCAGAAGATTGAGTTTCTTACCAAGCTGCACGTTACCGGTAACCCTTTCCCCCCTTCCCCCTGCCGTTTCTCTCACACCAGCGCCTCTCTGAGCAGATCTCTTGGGGAGCTTCAAGGACTCCAAGAGCGGCAAGAGCCACCAACAGATCTTGGACGAGGTAAGGAGTTCTGCCTGCTCCAGCGGAGCAGGCAGAACCGGTCCTGAACCCTGTTATCCTGACCCCTGTTACACAGATTTGGAGCTTGTACGATACGGACAATGACGGGCAAATCAACGAACAGGAGCTTGCAAAGGCCTTGAAAAGTACCTCGGACTCTATGGACCCGGTCCTGATATCCAACATTTTCAGTGGTAGGAGGAGGAGGAGGAGGAGGGCGAGGAGGAGGAGAACGAGTAGGGGGAGGGTTTTGACTGTTGGTTCTCAACCTTCCTGCAGAGTTCGACAAGAACAAAGATGGAGCGATCTCGAGGGAGGAATTCATGACGGTGATGAGGACAAGGAGCGGACTAAGGAAGAGCATGCCGTCGGGGAAGAGCGACGACGAGTCATCGTTCTGCGGCATCTCTGTCGTGATCATGGTGGTGATTGTGCTTGGGATCGGATTTTTCTTCTTCGTCTTCTCCTCAATCATCGATGGGCTCGTCGATAAGACTGACGCATCAATAGAACTATAACAGTCTTCGAGAGAGAATCCTTTCCACGCTTACAAACGACAATCAGATCTAACTCTGCATCGATTATCCTCTTCAGCATCCGGTTGTGCCTATACAGCACTCTCACTTCTGATCCTTCTCCTCCTCCTCCTCCTCCTCATCATCATCATCATCATCATCATCACTCAGACAGCCTTGGATATGAACAGCCGCCTGGAAGTCCCTTCAGTCTCTCCTGGGACACCAGGTAGCTTGATAGGCGAACTTTTCATCTCCTCCTTCATAAGGAGAGATTTCAGGCGGTCGGACGCAGCCTTGCGCTCCTCCGTAGAGAGGGTGTTGGACGGATCCACCTTCTTCGTGTCCTCTTTCCTCAACGGGGCCCTCGTGGTGTTCCTGGGAGGATCAGGAGACAGATCACGGAAGTTCTTGACTTTCGGCTGCTCCTTGCGTGCCGGGGACATTGTGCTCACTCTGTCGTACATGTCGAATCGGTTCCTCTCGGGGAGGTTCTCCTTCTTCGCAACTTCCTTGTCAGCCACAGGGGGGCTCGTTCTCACCTTCTCCTCCACCACCCGCGTCACCTTGGGGGAAGCATAGCTCTGAGCTGTCTCCGTGCTGGCTGTGGTGTCTCTGAAATCTCTGCGCTGTACTAAAGGAGCAGGATCCTCAACACTGATGCTCGAGGGAGGAACGTTGGCCAAGCTCTGTGAGCTAGAAGTACCGTTGGCCCTTGTGAAGGAGGACCTCACATCGGGCTTGGACAGGAAGAACGGGATCTCTTTGCTCCCCTCGGAGTACCGAGGAGAGGAAGGGCTCATATCAATGACTTCGTACTTCATCGGCACGGGTTCCACGGGCCGGTAATAAGATTGTTTCCCAGCAACCAGTCCAAAGACGTCGTCGGGATATTGACGAACTCGCTCGAGCCTATCTCTCACAAGCACAACAGAGAAAGTTGCGAACTTTACGGAGGAGGACTCCCTGACAACTGCAAAAAACTTCAGACGCAAACTGAGCAACAAGCGGCAAAGACGAGGAAGTGGAAGGGAGGGCAACGAGCAGATAGGAGTCAGGCTTGAGGTGGCAGGAGAATGAATGGAAAGGGAAAGGAGAAAGCATGTGGCACATGAAAAGCAACAAGAGGAAGAGAAAGAGAGAGCGGGAAGGAGGCAAACAGCGCAGTGTACTCACGCCGTTTGAAGGAGAGCTTTACTTCAGTCCCGCAGGGTCCAAGAAGCTTTGGAACGACAACTAATGACGAGGACCCAGCTACGCTCTGCTCGTCGACGTGTGTGAGAACGTCACCAGGACGGAGCATGCGGCTCCTATCAGCTGGACCTGTCGGAGAAAACCTGGTCACGAGGGCAGCGGGGGACAAAGCAAGACAGGAGAGGACAGAGGAGGACAGAGGAGGACAGAGGTAGAGGAATAGGACAGGGAAGAGAACGTAGTGAATGGCATTCATCAACTCAACACGAAACAGGAGAATGAAAGGAGATTCACCATTCTTTATCATCGAGTCAATGGAAAGAAGGCCTGAGGCATCGGTCCGAAAGTTGATTCCTATGCCGCCTGAGTGAAGATTTTTGTGGGTCGTATTCCCGCAACAAAGCATTCCATTGAAGAGGAAGATGTTTGCTAGACTCGAATCCGTCGACATCACTAATGACATGCAGAAACGAATCAGTACGACATCAGAGCTTTATGAGGCTTAAAAGTTGAAAGGCGATCTCATTCCTGCCCGACGCTTCTCCTTACCCCTCCCATCATCTTCCTTTCTCCATAGTCTCTCTCCCTCCCTTGCTCCCTTCCTCCCTTCCTCCCAACATCGTCCTCCCTCCCGCTCATCGCCATGTTCTGCCTGCGTCTCCGCTGATTGTCATGGAGTCGGGTGTCGAGCCACCCCACCCCACCCCCGCATGACTCATCAGAGTTCCACCCCACCTATTTCCCTTTGCGAAATTTCACATGCACCCCCTACCCCACTTCTATCAGACAACTACCCCTACTGATTCCAGTTTCCAGAACCCATCTTAACTTACCCACCCTATCAAATTGCAGGTCAGGAATGGGTCACTACCCCATTTCCGACCCTAGGACCACCCCTCCTTTCCCTCGGAGTTTTCACTTTCAGGTCACGGAGTCCGAACCTGCTCGGTCCGATCCGTGACATTGCCAGTTGCTTGAAAAGTTTGACTAGGCCGCCAGGCAACACCGTGACATCAGTATTTAGAATACGTATCGTAATAACAGGGGCGTTTTCTAATACATAACAGTAGTGATGGAACGGTCCCCGACAGTGGGAATGTTTGAGAGCATGGGGGGGCGAGGAGGAGGAGGAGGGATGGAAGGGGAGGGGGAGGAAAGAAGCTGTGAGTGTGTGGGAAGGAGAAGATGAGATGAAGCAGAGAAGAACAGGCCTGATAGTACTACAGCTGTGAAGAGTGATGGCAGAAGACAAGTCGGAGCATTTTGAGCACAAAGGTACAACACCTCGAGGCTCTCACTGTGTGAGAAGGCAGGAGTGTTGGAAGAAGACGATGAATTATGAGATATGAGAGTGAGTGAGAGAGTGAGAGACACACAGACAGACAGACAGACAGATGAGTTGTAGGGTGATATCTCTGGTGAAACGAGGGGAGGACTCGATCACGATTCAAACAGCATGCAACAACAAACAGTTCGAAGCCATCGTCACTGACGATGTCGAGGAGTTCATTCGCCATGTTGTTCTTACCAAGGACGAAGTCACGATCTTCATAGTCTTCAAGGACTCGGAGATTCTTCCATGGTGGAAGGTGTTTGCAATGATCGGATCCTTGAGGGCAGACTCTGTATGTCGTGCAGTGAAGATTATTGCCATCGACAAACTCGCCGACCTCAACGACTGTCCCAAGAGTTTTCAAAATGTTCTAGAGTCCGACGACAACTGGGAGTCCTTGTTCAGACCCATCACAAAGCAGAAGTTGAGCATCATGGCGTCGAGGATCTTGGACGTGATCTCGAGGGGAGGAGCTGAGGTAGAGCAAAGGCAGCAGGAAGAAGAAGCGAAGGAGGAGCAGCAGAGCCGTGCAATCATGAATCCTGCTCCTCCAGCCCGCATCTTCTTCGGTCTGGATGGCCCCACTGTGTTCGATGACCGACCTGAATACGTGGTCGTGCACGAGGGAGGAGGGGAGGAGGAGGGGGAGGAAGCGAGGCAAGGAGGGGCTGAAGGGAGAGAAGTGGAGGGGACACGAGGGGGAGGAAAAGGAGGAGGAACAAAAGCGGGAGCAGGAGAACTGAGGCAAGAGACAGAAATAGCAAGGAAGCAAAACAGGAAGGACAATGAGGAACTGCAAACTTCGAAACAAACATCAGCTAACAATCGCAAGGCTTTCGACCATGAAAAGTGGAAATTAGAAAACCCGGTAGAGTCATCAGCGCAAGGGTTTGACAACTTCGGGAACATGTTGAAGGAGTACAGGATAAAGCACAAGAGAGAGTTGATCGCAGAGACAGACGAGATTCTCATGTACGTCAACCATTGTGAGAAGCTGGGGACTGCCATGAGACAAGAGTACTTAGATCAGATCTCCGACAAACACCTCTTCCTCAGACAACTCTCGCTGGGGTCCAAGGGAGGGGTCGCGCTGGGAAAAAGTCTGCAATGGTGCCGGTCAGGAATCAAGAGCATCGACCTAGGCTTCTGCGAGATAGGGAAGGCGGGATGCGAGTGTATAGCCGAGGCTCTGACCTCTCTCCCGTCTTTGTCCTCCCTGGACCTTGTGGGGAACAGGATCGGAGCGTACGGCGCTGAAGCTCTTGCCAAAGTTTTCTTGGAGTCCCGACACTCCAACACGTCCCTAACGTCGCTCAATCTGCGGGACAACCACCTGGGAGACCAGGGGGCCATCCAGATATCCAAGATCCTCTACGTGAACACGAGCCTGAGGAGCTTGAACCTCAGCGATAATGAGATCCTGCTGGAGGGAGCTCAGTCGATCGCAAAGGGAATCGAGTTCCAGCATGAGAATCAGGGCGTTGAGAGGTTGTTCTTGAGCTGCAACAACATCAAGTACCAGGGCTGTAGGATGTTGTGCAATGCCCTCTGCAGAAACAAGACGGTGAGGACGTTGGACCTGTCGTCCAACCATGTTGGAGACCTCGGAGCCAGGTCGATAGCCGACATGATGTCTATGAATGCGTTCCTAACCTCGCTCGACATCTCAAACAACGACTTTCAAGGTTGGTTTCCTTCAGTGTGTATGAGTGTTATGGTGAGGGAGACGTGCAGGTGCTGGGCTGACGCAGATATCAAAGTCCCTCAACGTGAACAAGACGATGACTTTCCTTGACATCTCCAACAACAACCTTGACAACCACACCATGAACCTGCTGATCACCGCGTCGTTGGGTCAGGTGAGCTTGCACGTGCTGACTATCATCGTTGACGGTAGATGCAGAATCCCATGAGATTGCAGTTCTTCAATGTATCTACAAGACAGTCTGACAACGTCGGGGTTGCAAAAATACTCGGAGAGAAGACGTTTACCAAGAGACAAGACTTGCAAGCATATTTAGTGGAGGCTGAGCAGAAGCTGCGGGTTGCAAAGGACACCATGAAGAAGATGGAGAAGGAGTTGTTTGTGTCTGAAAGAATGATAGCGGACTTGGAGCATGTGGGTAGAGAATTTCAAGATGAGAACCTGCGGGAGATGAAGAGCAAGGTTGAGAACACGAGAGAAACCCTGCATGACACATGGACTGAGATATCCAACTTGAAGAGCATCCTGGTAAACTGAGACTGATGTTGCGGAGCAAACAGATGTAACGCTGACTGCAGGAGGAGGGGAATCAGCTGCTGGAGAGTTGGGTCCCGGAAGCAAACGTCAACCTACAGAACTTGCAGGAGCACAAACAAGTCATGGACCTTCTGCGAGATACTTCGACACGAAGGTCAGGAGCATGGGGAGGAGAAGACTTTGGAACGCACTGACCTTCCTGCTCGTCCAGCGTCAAGATCAACCTGAGAAATCCTGGTCACCGATATGTTGTTGCGACGTTGCTCGACTCCTGGACAAGATGTTTGGGGATGACTCTGAAGATCGAAGTGAACAGGAAGACCTGGAAAATCCCTCCAAAGTTCGAAGACAAGAGAATGCAGGATATGCATGAGGCATGCCAGGCAGTCGACACCCTCCCCAAGTCAGGAGGAGGCATTATCCATGTACAGAGATGCAACTGGAGTAAGAGGAGCTACAACCTGAATCTCGACCGGGAGGAGGAGAGGAGGAGAGTGGAGGCTTTGAGGCAGAGGCATCTTGCCTTCTTCTCGAGCGAGAGGATCAGGAACTTCAGGCACGACGGCAACCTCGTGGACTGCTTCGATCACCCCAAGTGGAAGCTACCTCTCTCAGGACGCATCAGCTTCACCATGCACTCGCTGGTGTTCGACTATGACCCCGAGGACATCGTGGGGACCCTCACGCTGGACCTCGACCTCCCGTGGGAGTTGTCAGTAGCCGAGAACCTGTTCGAGAAACTCAAGCAGCGGGAGGCCCTGCGGCAAAACCTGGTCAACTACAAGCCTTCAGCAGACGGGAGCTCCGCATCCTTGGTCCTCAAGCAGCACAAGCTCCCGTCCTGGAGCGGCAGGTGCTTCCTGGAGGGCGAGGAGGTCCAGGTCACGCCTTCTTCCTCCTTGCCGACGAGCGGCGTGATGCACATGGTGTGGGAGCGGAGCTCTGACAGGGTCCCTAAGATTGGGATCCACTTCGTGCTTCATATGCAGTACTCCCTCCACCGATGGATCGCCGAGAAGCTCTGGACGCGATGCAACAGGCAGGCAGAGTTCGTCTCCTCCGAGTTCATCCTGGAGTACCCGCTGCTGAACCAGCTGGACTACAAGGACATGCACGGCTCCTTCGATCACCTTGAGCGCTGGACCTTTCCCGACGATGGACAGCACTCGACCCTCGAGCTCACGTACGTCGTCAGAAGCGCCAAGTTCATCGAGTGGGTCAAGACTTGAAGCGACGTCGTTGACTGCATGCGCCAGGACGAGGCAGGTCAAATGGGACCTGGAGATTCCGGAGCAGCAGGAGGAGGCTGAGAAGACGCTCTACGGGAAGGACGCCGTCTCGATCTCGGACGTTCAGATCATGGTGAATGAGGAGGAGGAGGAAAAGGAGGAAGAGGAGGAGGAGGGGGGGGGGGAAGGGGGAGGAGGAAGGGAGCGGGGGTTGGAAAGGGGAGGACAAGGAGGAGGGGGAGGCGGTGGTGGTGGTGGTGGCAGCGGCAGCGGCCCCAGTCCCACTGGACTGACAGCAGGCGGCAGGACAAGCGGACGGGAGACAAGCGCTGTCTCCCCATACCCTTCAGGCCAGGGGAGCGAAAATTTTGGAGGCTCCCTTCCTCAGGGATAGTGAGCACGGAGAGCACAGCTGCTGGACCTCTCTGACCTCTGAAGTGACCAGGTGACTGCTGTGTATGGGCGGCTGAAGCGGATGAACGAGCACAAACTGCCCGTCCACGTAGTTCAGTCAGTGATAGCGAGGATCGACAAGGTGGTTGACTCGTCCCCATCTTCTCCAGCCTGCTGACCTGCGGGGCTCGCAGGATGGGCAGAAGGCAGGGAAGGAGAGGATCTTGAGAAAGATTGTTAACGAGGACGCTGTCTTCTACAAGAACTTGTCGGCCGAGCAGGGAGCAAGGATTTTCTTCCAGGCTTTCGAGGGGTCGGACTTCCTGGAGAAGGTGCAGTCCCAGTTGGAAGCAGACTTCATTGACAAGCTCGTACAGATGGCAGCTGCTGACATCCTGTACAAGAACATCGCCGAGCCCCATCGCTTCCTCCAGTGCCTGGCAGAGCAGAGCTCACAGGAGCGCGACGGTCGTTCAACCATGAGGAGGAGGAGCTTTCTTGCTGACAAGTTTCTCTCCAGCGCCAGTGGTCGAGAATATCCCGTTGAGGAAGCAGAAGAAGAACCTAGCAGTCAAGATGGCCTGAGGCTCGTCATGGGAGAAGGAGCAGAATGTGACGCGGTTGATACAAGAAACCCCCTAGATCGACTTTGAGTTCGAGCTCGAGCGTCGTCGTTGTTGCTTCGCCCTAGTCTTGGTCTTCTTCCCGACGGAGCTCGGGACTTCTTCTGCCTCCTGCTCCTGCTCCTCCCCCTCCTCGCACTTCTCTGACATCACAGACGCCTCGTCTTCGTTTCTTCCTTGTTCAACACAAACGTCGCTCCAGACCTTGACGAGTCTCTGTCAGCTCGTCGGAGTCTCAGCACAAACCTACTTGTCTCTCTTGCACACAGTCACTCATCGGCCTGAAATCTTCGTCGGGAGGATACCTGCGCATCGTCATGTCCTGCTCAACCATCATCTTCATCCTTCACTGACCGGAAGGTGGGGCCAAAGTTTGCCTTCGCTCCTCCACCGTAATAGAAGGAGGCCGCCGGGTAATAGATCCCCTGCCACACATCGACAAACGCGTCTCCTGCTGCTGATCGTGACTAGAGGCGGAGGGAGAAGCAGATGGAGGATTAGAAGTCGATCCCGACGAAGGCAACGAGGGGGCGTAGGAGGAGAGGAAGAACGAGGGGAGGAGAGGAGGAGGAGGGAAGGAGGAGAAGCAAGACCTTGTCGCTCTCCGTTCTTGAAGAAAGATATCCTTGACCCTTGGCAAAGATTCGGTTCCTCGGGTATCCAGTAATGGCACCACAAAGGGCAGTGGTATCGACTTCCAACCTAACCGGGACCAAGGCCAGTCAAGATGCGGCGAGGAGGAGGTAGGAGAGGCGATCTGACGCACATTCAAGAGCTTCGGATTGATGGGGCTGGGCGGCTTTGACGGCAGCTCGATCAGGCAGCCGATGACGTCTCCGTTGCCGTACTTGCTTCCGAACTCCCTCCCCCTGCTCCTGCGCACTTGTCAGTTCCCAGTGCAGACAGGGTGGGCTGCTCATGCAGACCTGTGATAGGCTGCTCCCTCTCGACTTCCGTAGGCATAGCTGAACCTGGACACTGACTTCACCTCCTGTCCTCCACTTCCTCCTTGCGATATCACCCGGCCTCGCCATCATCGCCCTCGGTCACCAGCGAGTACCTTCATTCGTGTCACCACCCCCCAGCGCCTGAGACTGTATCCCCTCTCACCCTATCGGAGCATCCATGTCCTCCCAGGGCACTCGATCCATGGCCCATCCAACACGGCAGTGGCACATGTCAGGAGGCCCTCTGTCAACCAACACTTCAGCCATACAGCATAGCCACATGGGGATAGTGAAAGAACATTGCATGTTACTGCTGCATGCTTCGTCGACATAACAGCGCCTCGTACGGCTCATCGCACGTGACATGCTCTGCCCCTCTCGCTTCTCACCTCGTCACGCTCGAGCTGTAGTCCACGATCTCGAGCTCGAAGAACCACGTCCCTTCGCTCACTCCGTGCGTCGCCCTCACTGACCGATGCCCACCGAGGCAGTAGGCCGTCTCTCCTCCTGGCTCCAGTCGCACGCTCTCATCCTTGTCCACGGAGCTCCAGCGCACTGGAAGTGCTGCTGATCCTGTCGTCCTCTCTTCCTCTATGGGCAGAACAACTTGAACGAGTTTCGTCTTAGCTAAGATGCTCTCGTCCACGAAGTCGAGGTGATACCGCCCTTTTCTTCTCTTCTTTACAGCTTCGTTCGCATTGTTCGACATGTGAAATAAGAGCTGAAACAAGAGCTGCGCGCGGCAAAAGTTTGTACTAACCTTCGATACTTCTCTCCTCTACCTGCTATACCTATCCTCCCTGCTCCTCCTCCTTCTCCCTCAACACATTCCTCCCCCCCTCCTCCTCATTCACTCTCCTCCCTTGCTCTGCTTGTCCCCAACGTCAACGTCGGGAAGTGAGAGGTCTGGCTTCAGAGCCCAGTGCACCACCGAGCTTCCACTCATCATCCCCGCCATAGTCGCCCCTAGCAAAGCCGCTAGCTCCCTTACTCGCATGGTGCCGGGTGCGATCGCTAGTTGTGAGACCCGGCGCTCTAGGTATGGGACGTTGGAGTTCCGTTACAATAAAGGCTTCGCTGACCGTTACTTTATACGTTACAAACTGTAACGACATGGGTTGTTCGTTCCCAACAGGCACGATGCCGAGTGCAAGGCAGGGAGGAGGAGGAGAAGGAGAGGAGGAGGGGAGGGGAGGGGAGGAGAGGATGGTAGAGACGGGAGGAGAGACACATGAAGGAAAGAGGGGCGCAGAGGGGACAGGAAGGGATAGTAAGGGACAGGTGGATCGGAGGGGAGTTGCGAGATAGTGAGGTAGACGAGTAGAAAGATGTAGATAAGGTGGAGACCAAGTCGAAACAAGGGACCTGTAGCAAGAGAGACAGAGGAGGGAAAGATAGGAAAAAGGTAGTGGGAGGACGATAGCGAGGAGTAGACTCTCGGTCTGGCAATGAGAAGATTTGGACCTATACTGTGTTTTGAAGGATTTTGGAATGTGGAAAGGGAAATTTTGTTACTTCATGTCCTTTCATGCCTCTATAGACATCGTCGATGACATGATTCTATCAGGAGGTCTCAGGATGTGGCTGAGGAAGTCTTTTCTTCCCTCATCACTATCTCTGAGTGCATGGATGCGAATTTTCCTGTGCTTACTCGCCACAGCCTCTGTGAATGCCGATCCCTTCGGAGGAGATTTCAGGTACAGCATGCTTAGATGGGAGGAAGGATCGACGCCCTTCCAAGCTGTGATCACCCTCCATACTTCATGGAGGAAGTCAGCGGTACAGCTGGCCCCAAAGTTCCTGCTGCTAGGGTATCAGAACCCAACGATCTCCATCATTTCAGCTGATTTCAATGTCTCTTTCTCTGACCTGGTTGCCGATACACGAAACTACAGCCAGGACGCCAACATGGAGACAGCATATAACGGCGGATGGATCATGGGGGAAACGAGAGTGGTGCAGCAGTTCAAGAGCAAGGGACCGCACAAAGTTACTTTCTCCGGATGTTGCTGGTATGGGAGCACCAACAACTTCTACCAAGAGATGTACATAGACTTCTCAACGGTGAAGATAGAGATTGTTCTTGTTGTTATCCTTCTCTGATGTCCTCGATTTGCAGAAATACTCTGCAAAGCTCTTCGGTCTACAGCACGTTAGCGTAGGGCCAGGTTCCTCTTTTATTATCCCAGCTCTTCGGCCATACCCCACTCAGCCGGAGTTGTACAAGTACTCTTGGTCGTTCTGCTCAGATTCTCTGGGATTGACTCTGGACGAAGCAACGGGGAAGCTGACTGTTCCGTCTTCTCCACCGCCATCGAAGCTGAATTCGTTGAACTATCTCTGCGTCAAGAACTCTCTCCAAGGATCAATGTCCTCCAGCTCTACCTTGTTCCTGCTGGCCTACGATGCGACCCAGGCGCCAGCCTTGGCGGTGCAGAGCCTGTACCCAATGTCAGACTCCAGCCTCCCTGACGTCCTGGGGAACTATACCTTCTATACCGGGTTCCCTATCTTCCTTAACCTTTCAGTGCAAGTCGGAGGCGGAGACTTCATGGGAATTCTTCAAGATTGGAGCGATCCTTCGCCATTCCAAATGGACTTTGATGGAAAGACCCTGAACCTGACCTGGACGAAGCCTTGCCTTGGCCAGCACAACGAGTTCATGCACTGCTACAGCTTCTATCGAGGCGTCGAAGTGTCGCGGCCATTCTGTGTGCACATCACACTGCTTGAGGACTCTGCGCCCGTCTTCCTGGTGACTAGATTGTCATCATGATCGTCCCAAGATTGACGTTTCCACCAGACCCCGAAGCCCTGGACGGAGTTCTACTGGCACATGGGCAAGAGAGGTATTGCGAGGGTGTTGGTTTCTCGTAGGGGTGGGGATTTGACTTTGTTGTTGAAAGCTTCCTTCGATGTTGTAGTACAAGACATGGCTCCACTCGACCTTATCTCAGTGCTGGAAATATACACCAAAACGATATTGCCGCCCGAATTTCATGTCGACAGTTATGCGAGGGTGAATGTAGCAAACAATGCAAGGTGAGCAATTCGTCAGCTGATATCGTTGCCTTCAAACATCGTGCTGATTTTCTTGAACAGCATGTCTCTATCTCTCACAGCACCGCCTATCGCTGGTGGAGGCCGATATCTCGTAAGAACCTCCTGAATTTCTACGGCCTTGCTGATGCTAAAGACTTTTCCTAGGTTTGCTTCAACGCGTCAGATACTGCTGGCTCACGCTACAGGAACTGCAGAAGGGTCAGGACTACTTTGTGTCATTGCACAACCAAGTCTTTTGATCCATTGATCAGGGGACAAGGGACTCAAGTCTCTGTGTATATATCAACGTGGAAAGGTAGAGAATGCTGGTGCGGGAGGTTGAATGCTAATCCATCTACTCTAACAGATGTCGATACGTTGTAAGACCGCGGGAAACCTTGCAAGATATCGCAGGCTTGTTCTGGACGGACTGGGTACAACTGTGGGCTGTCAATCCAGGTTTGATCCCGCCCCTGCTCTTTCTCTTTGTTCTGCCTATGCTCCTGCTCCTGCCCCTGCCTATACTCTTGTTCCTGCTCTTGCACTCTTCACTGCAAGTGAACGCTTGCAACAGACATCAGAAATCCAGACACACAAATAGGCTTCAATCCAGACTCTAACGCCTTCGGGGCGACGATAAACATCGGTTGCTTCTCACTCTTGGACTTGATCTGCCTTGAGCTGACTCGAACATGGTGCTGCAGGCCACTTGTACCAGGTGTCGGTCGGAGACACAGTCGCGAGCGTAGCGTTCAAGGTGATGTGTGTGTGTGCTACTGTACCGTCCCAGCTGACGGTCGGGCTCAGTTCGGGACCACCATCAAGAAGCTGCTGCAAACAAACGCGGACATTATCGATCAGGTGGACTCAATCACCTTGAAGGTGCGTTAGAGCAGGAGGAGCCTACGGGTGCTGACCGGGCTGCGCAGGAGGCGAGTACACTGTGCGTGATCCCGGACTCGTGCCGACGCTAGTGGGGGACGCAGTCTTGGTCCTGTGCTGGAGGATGCAGCTGTCTGAAGCCAGACTACGATGCATGTTAACGGAATAGTCCGCCGAAGCTCTCGATGGCCCGGGAGGGCCACGGGCGATGTATGTTATAGATTCTTTCTACCGCGATATCAACAAAGCGTTAATCAAGCTGTCAGACTGTCGTCTTCTTGGTGAAAGGCTTGATGAACACCCACTTCTTCTTGTCGCTATACTCCTCCTCCCAAGTCTCTGCACACTCCATCATCTCGCATTCAACACTGCTCTTCCTCTCCTACCTGGATGTTCCTTCTTTAACTTCTCAAACGTCTTGTAGGCTGTGGTACTCTGCAGAAACACTTCAAACGATCGAAAAGTCATGCATATGTATACCATGCACACAGCTGTGGGGTCGTCAGGGCTCCTGCCATCGTCGAAATGGTATCGCCCGTCCAATCGCATGTCAATCAGCGCACCTGAGGGTAGTGCAGTGAGAGAAGGATCATGGTGGCATGTAAGAATGAACATGTAGCCACTGATACATGACAGTATGATTCAGAAACACTTGTTGATGTGAATTCAATGTGAATGTCAAGTCAATGTGAATGGCAAGTCAAGGTGGATGAGAAGAGCTGAGGGCGTTGAAGAGCGGAGGAAGATGAGTCATGGAGTTACCTGTAATGTCGCACACGAAGGGATCCTCGTCCAAGTCATCGGGCTCTTCATGCACATCCTCGACTTCGCCCTTGTCTACATCATCCACGTTCTTCTCTCCCTCCTCCTTCCTCGCCTCCTCCTTCTCTCCCCTCCTCTCCCCTCCTCCTCCATGGTTGCTGGTTGCTGTCTGCATGTGCAAAACGAGACTGGCCCGGATACTCCCCGGTCCGGATACTCCCGGATACTCCCCGGTCCGGATACTCCCGGATACTCCACGGTCCGGATACTCCCGGATACTCCACGGTCCGCCGGATACTCCCGGAGTCACGGCGGATCGCTGACTGAGACGGTCCGAGGTCACGGTTGAACCGAAAACGGTACTACTCCCGCCGGGCCAGTCCGACTCGGACGTCCGATCCGAGTGTCGGATATACGACTGAGTCCCGGATACTCCGGGCCCGGCCAGATCTTCGGCGTTCACCGTGAGTATCACGGCGGCGCCGACAGGCCGCTTCAAGTCCGGCCCTCCGGGACTCGCCGGGAGTCCCCGCCGGGCCGGGCCCCCCGCATCAGTACTCCGGACACGGTACTAAGGTAGGTAGTAACCGTGAGTTCCCGGCCGCGGCCCGTACGGTCGGATACTACTCGCCGCCCGGTTGAAATCAGTGTTGCAGAACTTCGGAATGGGCAAAGAGGGTCGGAGTTTGATAAGGATCAGTTTACTTTTTCAACAAGATGCGACTGAAACAGTGACCTTGTCAGTTACACCAGCTAACTTGATGACTGCCTCCAACGGACGCCGTTATCTCGCCAGACTCATTCCGAGAAAGGCAAGGACATTCTCGTTCCCTCCATTCATCTCACAACCCAAACTCGATTGTGAAACCTGCACAATTTCCGTATCAGTCTGCTGAGAGGGCAAAACCTCACGAAGCACCTCGACATTGGAGAGGCCAGGAAGGCGCAGCGGAGGAAGCACCAACTGAAGACGCGAAGTCTGCTGTTTATCTTGGGACCACAGGGACGACAACGGAGGATGAAGCAGAGACCGCGATTGCGCCTGGAACGTCTGCAACACACTTGAGTACAGATCTGAGCTCCAGGTGTTTGCAGGATTCGCTGGTGAGGCGTCGAGGCTGTACTGCAACCCATGCGCATGCTGATCGCCCAGAGGAGTATGAAGAAGGCTGACGCTGTCCGACCTCATGCTGCGAAGCTGCGGGGTGACTTCCCCACCGCCGTCATGGTGGAGCACTGCTGAGCATTGCCTCTTGCTGGCTTCCTCGACCCCGAACCCATCGCTGTGTAGTAACGGAACGGGCCGTTTCACTCCCGCCGTCAGTAGGGTTGACACAGTTGGGAGCGCGAGAGGGTTCCCCAGGGAGGAAGGAGACAAACTCGACACTAACGCGTCATACCCTCTATCCCGCTGTTCCTCGTCTCCTTGCTGACCCGCATCTTGTCTCCTCGGCCTTCCTGGGCCTGCCGGCCGCGAAGGCCGCCTGGCTCGTTCCCAGCTGTACCGACTCTCCTGAACAAGCACCTGTGCCTTCAAGATTCTCTCTTCGTCGCATCCTAGCTTCCTCATGATCTTGGCACAGTGCACTTTATCTTCCTCGTCGTCCATCGTGTCCCTCCACCTTGCCCGCTTGAACCCATAGCCAGGATTCCCGGGCTTCGCTCGCAGCGACGGGACCCGCCGACTCTGTTCCTTTCCATAGATTTGATAGCCAATCTTGTTGAAATGCAATCTCATCCTCTTGTTCTTGACTGCCAGGAGAGAATATGTCAGAAGGAGAGCATCAGGGTTTATCATCTCATCACCTCCAGCACCGTCCTCCCCCACAATCTCCGGGAAGATTCGCGCGAAGACATGAAACACAGAGTGATCGGCGTCCTCCCCACACTCTTGAGGCAGGATGTCTTCGCAGTCAGTGCTTTGTTTGGTTGTGGCTTTGAAGAAACATCTCGCAATGTACGCGTTCTCCTTGTCCTCGAACCCAACATGGCCGCTCCAGCGCAGCATAGTCAGTCGGCAAGTTCAGTTTGCGTCTTTGCTGCAGTGTATGATTCAAAATGCACTCCAAGTGTCGGAAAGTTTGGACAGTTTCCTGTACAAACAAGATATGTTCATTAATGCAGTCATCATTCGTTGCATTCAAGTGTTGCCCATTCTGTCTTCTGCAAGTCGTACTGGTAACGAATCGTCCGTTCAAAACAAGCTTCTTTTCCCTCTACACTATTGGGTTGCACTTTCCATCCATGACACACAAACCCTACATTATCTTTCTATGTATCGTTACATCTTTCATCTATTACCGCAAAGTGTATCCATGTATCTCCGATCAAACCCCTATTGTTTCCCCGTCCCACCACCTTTCATTTTCTGTTCTGACTGCCTCAATCATTTTTTTGCTCGCCTCGCTTCTTCCACATGGACCTCTGACTTCCTTTCACAGTCTACAAACCCAACATTCTCCTCTCTGTCCCTTCCGCCATTCTCCTCCCCCCCCCTCCCTTCCAATGCCTTCGTCTCCTCCTGCTTCCTGCCCTAGGCATTCTTTAGGCATCGGCCACCAATCGAGAAGGTTCACCACCCCCTTTGTAAGGACCTTGCAACCTTCTATGTGTGTACCCCTCCACACCAAAGCACAGAGGTAGCACCCTACGACAAATGCACTACCCCCCGTCCGCCAACGTCCAAATGTTGCGCTGAAGAGATGGTCAGTAGGTGGGGTCATTCTGTGGGGGAATCAATAGAGGATCCTAGAGGGTGGGGGTGATAAAATGAAGGGGTTATTATATCTGCTCAACAAGCTAAAATGTGTGCTCATGAGGGTAGGGTACTATTGGATAAGGGGTATAGGGACTGCAGGGGTGGTGTGCGTTTACAAGTTGGAGGCATTTTACATAGTAAAAAGTCTCCACCCCTTCAAGTACAGAGGAAACGGGGGTCATCATCAAGAAGGGTCAGTTTCGAAGGTCTTAATGGTGGGTACTGAAATGGGATTTACGGGGGTGGGGGTGATTGTTTTGAAAACACGTGGAGGTAAATAAAAAACTGAATTTATCTCGAGATCGGACTGACCACCCTACCCGTTTCTGGCATGTTAGTACCCTACCCCTCCTTTTCCGAAAGGGAGTACATGAAAAGTCCCAACAATCACCCCACCCACTCTTACACTAGAACTTGGTATGATCGCAGGGGTACTCGACCGAAACAGCGACGGTCTCAGGCTCGCGGCCCGGCCCAGCTGGGCCGAGCCCGTACGAGCCTAACAGCGCCGCGGCTACCGTACAGTTCCCAGAGATGATGGAGGCGGCCGCCGCTGGCCTCGTCCCGACGGTGCCACCGGATTGATCGACGCTACCCAGAAGTCTGAGTGCAAATGTCCCCTGATCGCCACTAGCTTACACCCAGTGCTCAGCATCAGTGCCACGTGTGAAAGTCATGTCACAGAATAAATGTTCTTGAGTAGAATGAACAACATAAATACATCTCTTTAATGCCGACTAAGAAACGAACTTCGGATTCAAATTGAGCCTGCGCGGCATCTCTCCCCGCAGTCCCCATAGCACTCCATCCCTTCCTCCTTCGCCCGCGGCCGATGCTCCTCGCACCTCGTCTCCCCCGTGTACGGCCTCGACAGCGTCTGCAGGTCCTCGTACACGCGGTACCCCAGGGCTCCCTCCAGCTCCTCGTCAAGCCAGGCCCCCACCTGCTTCAGCGTCGTAGGGGAGAAGGCGCGAGCGTACTCGCCATGCGTGTAGTAGCGGCGCTTGGACGCCGACTGCGGGGAGTCCCACTCGTACTTGGCGTGGCGGAAGCCGTTGGGGCAGCTGGCGACGCCGAAGTGCATCATGCACTGGGAGAGCTGCCAGGAGCTATGCTTCCTGACGAGCTTGAAGTCTCGCTCCAGCCTGGCCAGGACCTTGATGGGGTCGATGAAGAAGTCTCGGCAGGCGACATGGGAGCTGAAGTCCAGCTTCTCGTCCGCGACCAGGAACCAGTCTCGCAGCTTCGCGGCCCGCATGGCGAGGATGTTGGGGAACCGCCTCTTCGTGTCCGGGTCTCGGTCCTCCCACTTCTCACTCATCGTCAGCGGAGGGTCGTACGCTTGGGCCCCGGGCATCCGGCGCTGCACGGACAGCGAGGCGAGCTGCAGCTGGCGCCTCATCGCCTCCCACGCCTGAGGAGAGACGTCCCAATGCCGCGGCGTCTTGGCGTGGCACAGGAACTTCCCCTCCCTGCATCGCCCCCACGAGCCCTCGCCGTCGTAGCAGCTCGGCGACGGCGCGAGCTCAAGCCTGGTCTGCACCTGGTAGTTGCTGACGGCCAAGCACTCGAGATCGGGCGAGCTCAAGCCCGGCAAGCCGACGCCAGCCTCGCGTGCTCGGCTGACCTCTCCGGCGCTCTCAAGGATGTAGTCGGACACGCTCCTCCTCCAGCGCCTCGCGTCCTCGTCGCCGCTCAGCCAGTCGCTGTCCAGCCCCGTACACAGGAACCTCTCCCCGCACACGGCGCTGCTGTGCGACGGAGGCAAGCAGCTCTCGTGGGGGCTGACGGAGAGGCCGGCGAGCAAGGGAGCGTTAGCCCTCAGCCCAGGCAGCTCCACGCACGTGTACTCCCTCCCTTGATGCGCACAAGCCGCCCCCGGTACCAAGCGACTCCGGGCGCGATCGCACGGGACCACGTTGTCCCCGCGTCCCCATCGCCCCTGACCGTCGTAGGAGGCGGAGACGATGCCGCTGGAGTCCTCGAAGGTCACCCACTCTCGCGCGAGGAAGGTGGACATGTCGAGGTTATTGTGCACCTCGGCGTAGAAGGGGTGGCGATGCATGGACTCGACCCACTCGTAGGGGCTGCGGGTGACGAGGAGGTTGAGGGTCTGGGCCTGGTGCCTGACGTCTGCGGAAGGAAGCAAGTCACCGCCAGCCCTCCTCCTCGACCTCGTTCTGCTGCATCTACGCTCTTCATCTTCACTCTGGTCTCTTGTCTCTTCCTCTCTCGTCTCGCTACTCTCGAGCGCGTGGATACAAGTAACGGGCGTACCTGCATGCCGCAAGTATCCGTGCTTCCATGGTAGGCCTCCGATGACGCACTCGTCGCCTCCCGGGTCGCCGCAGCCGAGGCGGAAGTTCTGTCGGATCAGCTCCGTCATCAACGTAGTGCAGCTGCTGCGCTCGCCCCAGATCCAGATCTTGTTGATCCGACGCGGGTCGGTGCCGGGCTTGACGCGGCTGCCGCGCCAGTACCTGCCTCCCTTGCTCTTGAAGCGCTGCCGGTCCCAGGCCACGTACGCCAGGCCGGTAGGGGCGATGTCCTCCTCCATCATCTCGCGTAGCCGCGTCATGAAGGGGGGGCGGAGGACGAGTCGCTTGTGCCTGGAGGGGTAGAGGAACTTGGCTTGGAGGGACCTGAAGGGCGAGCTGAGGAAAGGGGAAGGAGGGGGAGGGGAGGAGGAGTTACGGACGGGAGGAGGAGGCTTTATCTCCTCTGTCAAGCTTATGTCTGTGGACATTTGATCAGACTTGTGCTCGTTTAGTCCCTTTTGGTTTTCTTGCGTCTGTGATTGCACAAAGCTTCTGGCAGACACATTACTGTCGTGACTTCTGTGATGAGCGTGTTTTGTCGTCTGAATCAAAGAATGGTTTGTCAATGTCGCTGGGTTTTGTTTTTGTTCCATGGAGTTGAAAGTGTTGAATGTCATCAATGATCGCAACATGGAACGAGGGTACTTGTCCGTCGCGTGTTTGTTTTCCTGGTGCAGCACTACTTGATGGATAGGTATCATAAGCACCTGGAAGGCCAGACAGAGATACACCATGAACATGCCCCTTGTACGCATCTTGCTGACCTGGTACCAGTTGTAGCAGATTGAACAAGTTGGAAGTTGTGTTTCTTTACGAGATTTTGAAATTCATTGAGCGACGAAAATCTGCTCGCAGCATCTCAGTGGAACGACAGAGACGAAGAAAGAAAAAGCATGAAAAATCTTGCAGAAGACTGAAGGGAAAGGGAGGAAGACCCAAAAGGCCATGATGTATGAAATGACTCCCAAGATTATGGGGTTAGGAGCTGAAGCTGGTTGATAGGGAGAGCAGGAATGCTCATATCAAGATGATATTATTATGATGGAGACAGGGAGAGTTGGAAAGATGGAGAGACTTGAATCAAAAGGAAAGGGAGGAAGGGAAGGAGAAAACATGAGTGGAGTATTTGAGGAAATGGTTGAGAGAGTCAGAGAGGATATCAGATCAGTCAAGTCTCACAGGGGGAGAACTTGAGGACCCCAAGAGAGAGGGAAGAAGTAGAAGAGGGAGAGGAAACGGTTGAAGCGGGGGAAGGGCTTGCAGCCGTGTAGGATGAGGCAGGAGGAGGAGATAACGATGGGGGAATGGCAAAGAGGGGGTGCAAAAGATGAGGGAAAGCCACCCCACCCCTGGTAAAAGCTCAGTCTATGACAACCAGGGGTCATCCATACCACCCCTGCCTGCCTGGATGATTTCCCTGAAGGGGTTCCTGATTGTGCCCCACCCCCACTTTCCCCAGATCACGACCCCTTTGTCCGATGTAACCCACCCTTGTCGCCCCGATAAAGATAAAGGAACCCACCACGTCACAGCCCTGTACACCCTTGATAGACCACCCCCTACTCTGATCAGGTGTGAAACCACCCCACCCTGTTGAAGTGCCTCCTATAATGGAACAGCCCTGAAAGTCACCTTGTGCCCCCTAGGAACTGAAGTCCTAGGCCTCTAGTCCGCGGGGTCCTATGGTGTACAGAAAAGGATAAAAGGTCACCATCATCCGATTAACTGCTAATGGTGCCCCATGTCGAAAGCCTCTCAACTCAGAGCAAACAGTAGAGGCGACTTTGCTGTCCTGCACTAGTTTTTGATTGAAGGTCCGAGGTGGGCTCAAGTAAAAGCCGTCGCCCATCATGATGACGATTGATCGTCGTAAAGATAAAGTCACACAGGCTGTCACATTCATAGATAAACTCTAAAATGAATCAATAAGATACTCCTTAGCGACCATCCCTATCAGCCTGCGCGGCATCTCTCCCTGCAGTCCCCATAGCACTCCATCCCTTCCTCCTTCGCCCGCGGCCGATGCTCCTCGCACCTCGTCTCCCCCGTGTACGGCCTCGACAGCGTCTGCAGGTCCTCGTACACGCGGTACCCCAGGGCTCCCTCCAGCTCCTCGTCAAGCCAGGCCCCCACCTGCTTCAGCGTCGTCGGGGAGAAGGCGCGAGCGTACTCGCCATGCGTGTAGTAGCGGCGCTTGGACGCCGACTGCGGGGAGTCCCACTCGTACTTGGCGTGGCGGAAGCCGTTGGGGCAGCTGGCGACGCCGAAGTGCATCATGCACTGGGAGAGCTGCCAGGAGCTGTGCTTCCTGACGAGCTTGAAGTCTCGCTCCAGCCTGGCCAGGACCTTGATGGGGTCGATGAAGAAGTCTCGGCAGGCGACGTGGGAGCTGAAGTCCAGCTTCTCGTCCGCGACCAGGAACCAGTCTCGCAGCTTCGCGGCCCGCATGGCGAGGATGTTGGGGAACCGCCGCTTCGTGTCCGGGTCTCGGTCCTCCCACTTCTCACTCATCGTCAGCGGAGGGTCGTACGCTTGGGCCCCGGGCATCCGGCGCTGCACGGACAGCGAGGCAAGCTGCAGCTGGCGCCTCATCGCCTCCCACGCCTGAGGAGAGACGTCCCAATGCCGCGGCGTCTTGGCGTGGCACAGGAACTTCCCCTCCCTGCATCGCCCCCACGAGCCCTCGCCGTCGTAGCAGCTCGGCGACGGCGCGAGCTCAAGCCTGGTCTGCACCTGGTAGTTGCTGACGGCCAAGCACTCGAGATCGGGCGAGCTCAAGCCCGGCAAGCCGACGCCAGCCTCGCGTGCTCGGCTGACCTCTCCGGCGCTCTCAAGGATGTAGTCGGACACGCTCCTCCTCCAGCGCCTCGCGTCCTCGTCGCCGCTCAGCCAGTCGCTGTCCAGCCCCGTACACAGGAACCTCTCCCCGCACACGGCGCTGCTGTGCGACGGAGGCAAGCAGCTCTCGTGGGGGCTGACGGAGAGGCCGGCGAGCAAGGGAGCGTTGGCCCTCAGCCCAGGCAGCTCCACGCACGTGTACTCCCTCCCTTGATGCGCACAAGCCGCCCCCGGTACAAAGCGACTCCGGGCGCGATCGCACGGGACCACGTTGTCCCCGCGTCCCCATCGCCCCTGACCGTCGTAGGAGGCGGAGACGATGCCGCTGGAGTCCTCGAAGGTCACCCACTCTCGCGCGAGGAAGGTGGACATGTCGAGGTTGTTGTGCACCTCGGCGTAGAAGGGGTGGCGATGCATGGACTCGACCCACTCGTAGGGGCTGCGGGTGACGAGGAGGTTGAGGGTCTGGGCCTGGTGCCTGACGTCTGCGGAAGGAAGCAAGTCACCGCCAGCCCTCCTCCTCGACCTCGTTCTGCTGCATCTACGCTCTTCATCTTCACTCTGGTCTCTTGTCTCTTCCTCTCTCGTCTCGCTACTCTCGAGCGCGTGGATACAAGTAACGGGCGTACCTGCATGCCGCAAGTATCCGTGCTTCCATGGTAGGCCTCCGATGACGCACTCGTCGCCTCCCGGGTCGCCGCAGCCGAGGCGGAAGTTCTGTCGGATCAGCTCCGTCATCAACGTAGTGCAGCTGCTGCGCTCGCCCCAGATCCAGATCTTGTTGATCCGACGCGGGTCGGTGCCGGGCTTGACGCGGCTGCCGCGCCAGTACCTGCCTCCCTTGCTCTTGAAGCGCTGCCGGTCCCAGGCCACGTACGCCAGGCCGGTAGGGGCGATGTCCTCCTCCATCATCTCGCGTAGCCGCGTCATGAAGGGGGGGCGGAGGACGAGTCGCTTGTGCCTGGAGGGGTAGAGGAACTTGGCTTGGAGGGACCTGAAGGGCGAGCTGAGGAAAGGGGAAGGAGGGGGAGGGGAGGAGGAGTTACGGACGGGAGGAGAAGGACTGTTTGAGGCATTTTGGAGAGGGATCTTCAAAGGAATAAGGCTGACGTTTGTCAAGCTGTTGTGGGCATTATGGCTAAATGATGTTTTGTTTGTCTGATTCTTGGTGGAGATGGTGATTTCATGCCGTGATTCCTGTTTTGCTTCAAGTGTTTGCGTTCCCTGATGTGCCATGGAGCTAGAGGTCGTTTTCTTCTTGTTTTGGTAGGATGACTTCAGGATCCCTACAGGCAGTATCGTTCCACTCGAGCTTCTGCTTGGACGCATGGCGGTATGTCGGAGCGGAATAATCACAACCTGCATGCTTACACAAAAGAACAATACATACAATGCCCTCGAACGCGTTCGGATGTTGAACATCATCTTCATCACCTCAAACTTGTCGCTTGTGGGAGATAGGTTTCCACCTTCAGGCACACACAGTGATCTTCAAGTTTGAGGAGGGCAGACTCTGCATCAGGGATGCTCGAATTTCACCTTCATCCGAGGTGACACGGGGGACGCAAGATGGAAGGGAGAGACCGATCGAGGGAGGGGAGGGGATGAGAGGGGATGAGAGGAGGGAGGGGAGAGGAGGGGAAGGGGATGAGAGGAGGGAGGGGAGGCAGGACAGTGGAAAGCAAGACTCGGAGGCTCAAGAGTATGAGGAGGGAGATAGGGGTGTGGGGTGTGGGTAGACAGGGTGGAGGGGGTGGAGGGGAGCGGAGCAGGGGGGGGGGGGGGGGCGAACAAGGAGGAGACTGTGAAGGATTCGGAAACTCGGTGGACTTGTTGCCTGCCCACCCCCTACCCCCCTTGCCCCCAAGGTCATGCGTGACTGGAGCACCCCACCACCCCCTCTCCCAATCAGGGGCATCACGTCCCTTATTGGCCGCATCTCCAAGGATACATCCGTCATCTGAACCAGCCCAGTGTACTGTTCTCACTGAAGATTTGACTTAACTTTGAGTAAAATGTTGAAAGGTTGCTGCACCAGAAAACCGTTGAACCGGGCTACAGCAACTTGGCAAGCCTTCGGAAGCCTGCGCCGGTGCCCGGCGGCGGGCCAGTCACGGTGTATCGCCGGGGCACCCGGTACTTGCGGGGACGTATCATGGGTGCAGTACTACTTTCCGAGTTCATTAGCGGCTCTGAACTCTGAGTCATCACCGAGTCACGCCACAGAGTCGTGTCAGATCTTTACTGGCAGAGTCTGACTCGGCCCGGACTCGAGAGTCCGGGCCTCCCACGGACCGGTCACCAGTGACTGCCGCAGTGGCACCGCCGGGGCCCGGCGGCCGGGCGGCGTGACACTGACTCCCGACGGGTGACGCCCGGCGCCCGGGCCGGGCCGCGTACTGAACGCCGTAGTACCGTACGACTCCGGGTCGCCCGCACTGCAGCGCCACAGGCTGAGTGCCACCCGGGAGCCTGGATCTGATCGCCATGATCGGCGGCCCGGCGCACCACCGTCAGTGGCACGGTGCCCTCGGAGTCCCGGCGGGCAGGCAGCCTGGGGTTCACAGTGATGAACCTCACTAAATTGTAGACGCCTTTGCTTGTTTGAATATTAATACAACATTAAGACAAGATGATGTCTCTATCACATCGCTGAATGGAAAGGAAGCGGCGGCAGATCGGACGGTCAGACGCTCACGGGCATTCTCCGGGGGGAAGCATGCAAGGCTCGTTCCCTCCATTGTTGTTGCCCCCATTCTTGGTCCAGGCGTCCGCCTCGTCGTTGGCGTGTGAGATCTGCGACAAGGCTGAGCGCAAGCAGCGAAGACCTTCAGATCGCCTCACCTCATCTTGGTGCATGTCGTCCAGATGCACCATCCTCGCCTGAGCCTCGAGGCCTTTCTTGATGTATTCACTGAGCTTAGGAGACATGTCTTGCCCTGCGTCTCCTCGTCAAGCCACACTCGACATACAAATCCGTGAGAGCAAACACAGAGTCATTCACAACGAGAGTATAACCATCAAGGAGAGAAAAGGTAAGATCAGGGCTGACATGTTCGGCATACCTATTCTGACCATTCTGTTCAAATCATCAGCAATTCCTGGGCCAAACCAAAGTTCCTGTAAGCAAAGGAAATTAATATCCTCACAACAGAAACGTCAATGCTTCAGAAACCTGCGTTCTGGCAGGCTTCATCATCAGATAGTAAGGACGTTCAGCCCTCAACGTCGTGCTTGAAACCTGGAAAGGATCTTACCAAGCGAAAGCCAAAAACAGATAATTACCAGGAAAAAAATAGAAACAATACCAAAACCGATGATCCCAGCAACTATAAAAAAGAGTTGAGAAAACTGTCATAGCGTGCAACAGACAGAAATGTTTTGATTGGACAACAGGTTGGAATTTTTTCTATGCCACTGGCTAGGTTCATAATACTACTTGATATTCCAAGAACGAAGTATCACGTTAGAGCGCATCTTGGCACCTGACCCTGGCTCCGTACTTACTATCATCCTCCTCTATCCTCCTCACGCTCCTCCTGCTCCCTCTGATCTTGATCTCGCTCCCTCTCAAACTTTCCTGCTCTTGATCCTGTTCCTGCTCCTCCCTCCTGATCCTGCTCCTGCTCCTGCTCCTGCTCCTGCTCCTGCTCCTCCATCCTGCTCTGCTCCTCCCTCCTGCTCCTGTTCTCCTCCACCTCCTTCACCTGCTGTCGCCGCCTTCCGCTCCATTGCCGCGACACTTCGTACGTGTACCACATCCCCACTCAATCAACTAGTTCCTCAAAGTTTAGTTCAAAGCTACTCTAGTGTTGCTATTGGGGAGTACCCCACCGTACTAACTTGCCATGTACCCCCCCTTTATACTCATTTTAACCTACCTATTCCAAATATGGGATACTACCCCTACCCCTCCGTGTTGTGGAAGGTGCCTCGTTTCTTTTCCGTTGATTCAACGCTCAATGCTGAGATTTTTCCTCCTCCTCTCGTGTTCTTCTTACCCGCTGCTACCCCTGCAGAGCTTCTCACGATCATGATAATGACCATCCCAGGAACTCATGGCAACATACACTGCTATCGTCCGAAGTTCCATCTTCCTTTTATGTTTGTACTCTCATTGATTCCTTTTTTCTCACACTTTTCCTCTTATACCATCTTGCCTTCTCCCTCATGGTCATTTTCTCTTCTGAATCTGCTCTACAAATCCATGTATTAATCCTGCATCCTACATCATCCCCTCTGTGCCCGATCCTATGGGTCCACATCAAAATCTTAGCATGATTGAGCTGTACTGAAGTCTTTCCCCTTGACAGGTTGCAATCATGAGCGACAAGGACGAATTCAAGAGACTCAACGATGATCTGTCTCGATTGCTGCGAGCGTCTGTCTTTCCTGGAGCCGTCTCCTCCTTTCCCAAGTCGTCGGTTACCCACGAGATGCTATCGCAAGCGGACCCTATGAACGAAGAGTTCCGGTGAGTACCGGCGTATGTCTGCGAGGTGTTCGACTGAGTGAGTGCATCAGCGTTGAGAAGACGCACTTCAGCAAGAAGTACGACCTCAAAAACTTCATGGAGGCAGAGTTTGCTAGAAGGAATCTGTTCAAACAGGTTGCCAAGGAGAGCAAGCAATAGCCGGGATATTCTTTTTGTACATAATCTTCACCCTAGTGACAACATCTAATTTCTAACAATTTTGTTTGACGGAGCGAATCCTGCCAACCAGAAGCGTCTCTCCACCACCACTCCCCTTAATCTCGCGAAGAAACGCACAGAAATTCTACAAGTAATACCTACCAAGACCCGCTATGAGACCCAAACGCTGCAATCTCCCTATATGTACATTCTCTCTTCACTTGACGACGTGCCCCATCATCTTCGTCAGGATCTTCACACGAAGTCAACAACCCTTGTGCTCTGCAAAGAACATTCTTACATGCTCGGGGTTTTCTCCGTGCTTCCTCCTCGGCACACCACCTGCTCCAAAGTTGTCAAGTTTGACGCATCGAGTGACTCGCTAGCGCTCACTCCACTTCGAGCTGCGGCTGAGCTGGTCAGCCTGTAGCTGTCTGGCCTCCAGCTTCATCTCATCCAAATTCCGAGAAATCTGCATGACGGCAACCCACTTCTCCTGCGGGAGTGTTGAGCAGGGGAGCAGGGAGGGCGTGCAAGATGTCAGGCTCACCCCTTTCGTCACAGGCAGAGAGGAGGACAAGGACGAGGAATCAAAATCGTGCTGCCGTTGCCTGCAGCTTGGTCACCTTCAAGTCAGGGAGATAGGACTGTACCTGTGAGCAAGGACGTTGTACAGGATGAGAACTGAATTAGAAGGAGGCTTCATCGACAGTGCTGACTGCGTTTTTCCTTCGACCCCTGTGCCTGTGCCTGTGCCTGGCCTTGCACTTCCCAACCCAATCCCTGTTTCCCTTCCAGATTCTGTTGAAGCTCCCCTTGAATTTCCTGCTGCCGACCCCTGACCCGCCTCTCCTCCCACGTAAGCCCCTTCGCCTGCCCCTGCTGCCCCTGCTGCCCCTGCTGCCCCTGCTGCTCTTGTCAAAGTATCAGATTTATCACTTCCGACTCCAGCCTGAGCTCCACTGCTGCGACTTTCACTGTGCATACCAGACCCCTTCGCACCAGGGAATTCAAAGCCCCCCCCTTCAAAATCTTCGTCTGTGAGAAGACATCAGTGGTGTTAAGCCCATCTTGGCATATCTACTTAGAATGAAGAAGATCGTTGCAAACACGTACTCTCGACTCTGGTGAGGCCCTTCCGCTCCATGTTTCTTCGACTGCTCGAAAACGTCAGCATCGACCCCAGTCTACTTCATCGAGCTGATCACCTTCGATATCGTCGTGTCAAAATCCACTCTAGAGCACCCTTCCTCAAACTTCTGCACCTTCAAGGCAAGTTGAGCATCCCCCTTGCAGACTGCAACATCAACTCACCGTAAAAGATGCAACGTACTCCCTGGCGACGCTCAGCAGTTCACAAGTACGAGCTGCGAGCAACCCTTCAGCGCTTGCTAGGAGAGGATTGCAACTTCACCGATCCAACGGGACACAGCTTTGTCTGTCATTGGCAGCTCCGCTATCAGATGTTTCTTCGGATCACGCGTGTCCCCCGGCCGTAACACTCCCCGTTTCAGAAGGGGCCTGGCAATCTGCTGGCGATCAGAAAGGCAGGTCGCAGGGGCAAAGGACCTTGATAATGTCTGCAACTTCTCCATCTCTCATGAAGTTCAAGACTCTGAGGGAGCACAACTTAGCCCTCTCCTCTCCCCACCAGCCTTTCATCGTTACCGATGCAACCTAGGTATTGTGGACACAGTCTCTACCTGCGACTGACAGTGACGAACGAACATTCTCCTCAAAGGAGCAAGGAAACTCTCCTACCTGTACCCTCCTCTCCAGGTGAGGCACAGGAATCTCAACGAGGAACCCAGGAGGCTCCGCTGGAAGCACAAAGTGCTCACCGTAGCACACAACATAGACCTGTGAACCCGTTACTGACCGGAACGCCAGAGTGCTGGTCGGACCTTCTCAGGCAGCATGCCGTATATCCTCTGACCATTGGGACGAACGAAGTGGGAGACAATGCATCCAAGAGCCGTGCTCAGCTCCTCCCTCATGAGATCTCCGTTGGCCATGTACACGGAATGAGGAACTACGGGTAGGGTCTCGGCCGGCCAGCAGAGCAAAGACGCTGGGCACTGCCGGGAGGTCAGGCCCATGCTAGAGCCGACGCTGTAGATCTCGACAGCATGAGCGTGTGCCCCGTCGTCTTGGATGCTGATGGAGTAGACGACGTCATTGAATCGCATTCCAATGAAAGAGACGTCGTTGTCTATTGCTATCTCAGCGCCCTTCCAGCTCCTGTTGGAGAACAGAGTGACCACCACTCCCTTGCTGACTCTCAACGACGAGATATCGGTGAAGTGGAGTGCGTCCAGATCGGATATGTTCCCGTAGATCGGCATGCTCCACCCCAGAAAGTTCGAATCTTGGTAGATCACCGCCGGAGCTTTCACGGCACGCCTCCCAAGGAAGAACGTCTTCCAGTGCGGAGGGATCGGGTCATCTTGATCAGGTCTTGTAATTATGATCATCAGCTGGATCGAGAACGCACAGATCGAGAGAGTGAGAAGCAGGCACATCATCCTCGCATCCGATCTTGTCCACCATCCAGCAGTTTCCCTCCCTCGCTTCCTCCTTCCTGACCCCCCCGGCAAGTTCCCCGCCACCTCTGTCCCATCAAACCTGCTACCAGCAGCATGGCTGCCAGCATCTCTCCTGCTTCCTCCTCCCGAGCCATCCCCTCCCCCTCCCCCTCCCCCGCCAACGCAGCCATGACGGGGCAGCATGTCGGGAGACCTGTCCTTCACGGTCCGATCCGGCTGTAGCCGCATAAAATTTGAGTGCTCGCTCCGAGGCCCGGGCCGATCATATCCGAGTCGATGACAGTGAGCCGGCTCCGAGTCCACCCGGAGTCTTCCCGCCGGCCCGCTCGGGCCCGGGCCCAAGCTCAAGCTCCTGAAATAGATATCGCCACCCTTGAAATAAATATTCCGTCTCGGACACTACCAGGGGTCATGACCCCTACCCTCCGAGACCCATCATCCTACCACTGAGCCGAGACTCTCTGCCCCCACCCTACCCTATCCCTGCGCTGTCCAACTTGGATTCAAGTTGGGTCAGACCGGTTCAGGTCAAGTACCCCCATTTTAGTACCCCTGTCATTCCTATACAAACTACCCCCCTTATGCAGAAGCAGACCGGTTTCTGGACTGACTCGCTGATAGAGCATGAGGATTCACTGATGGAGAAACCTAAATGGGGTGGGTGATTTTTGGTCAGGAGGGGGTGAAGGTACTCCAAGGGTGGGTACTTCTCTACATAATGAATTATCAAATTAGGGGTACTGTGAGAAATGGGTAGGGTGCTTTGCAGGAGTCAGTGAAAGTAAGGGGTGGTGCGATTGTGTTGGGTTGGGGTCTTGTTTTTTTTTTGTTCTATTTCAGGCACGGGGGTTTAAAAGGAAGAGGAGCGGCAGGGGACGATCAAGAAAGGTGAGCCAATGCACGCCAAGCAAACCTGTCAAACAAAGTGATGTTGTGCGATTATGGCCGGAGCTAAGCGTTGAACGCGCTTGATCGTACAAGCATGATGTGTGTAGTAGGAAAGGTTTGAGCGTTCACGATCATATGTTCAAAACACATTATAGAAGTATTGTTGAGTTTCAAGTCATGAACCAAGGCTCATTAAGGGTCGATGGTCAGATGATTTACGATACGGTGCACAGAGATATTAGACAGAATAAGGTAGAGTCATATGGAAGAATGAGCCTTTGTATGCTATGTCTGTTGTATGCTGTGTCCATTCATTGAGATCTTTCATGTGATTGATCGTCATTTGCAGGGAAAGATGTTCGCTCTCCTCGCCATGACCATGCTCGATGACGTCAACACCATCAACACCTGGGCTGAGCCTCACAACGCCAACGGCATCACCCCCAACACCATCATCGACTCCAACGATGAGCCCCCCTGCAACAACCAGCAGCGCATGGCTGCCCGTGGCTACTAAGCGTTCTGGCTAAGTAAAGTCTGAAATTTAGGATCCTGCCCCTGCACCCCACTCTGATCGCTTCTTTTTCTCTATCTCTTTCCTTTCGAGAGTCTTCCTCACAAACTGGACCTTATCATCTTGTCAAACTTGCGTCCAGGATGAGCGTGTTGAATTCATGTTGGCTGTTGAACTTCCTGCTCAAGACGGAAAATATCAACTTGCACAGCAGTGTGTTATCGATGATATCGAGAACAACAGTATTTGTCTGTTAAACATTTAGACAGTATTATGTCCAATTGTGTATGATACTTGTAAAAACTTTTATTCAAGACATTTTGCGAACTTACAGTTCTTCAACAGACTGGTGTGCCATTAGCAACAAACAAAAACTGTACAAAAGACAAAACTACAGATGATTAACTAATGGTACAATTCTTGCCCTCCAAATGAGACTTCTTGTTCATCCACTCAACTCGCACCTGGAATGAGGTTTAGATTTCTTGCAAGAATAATACAATCCTTTAGGAATACCTTGCCCTCGGGGGAGATATCCAACAGAGTAGTGCATGCAAGGGATATTCTAAACTTCTGATATACACTTGGTGCGTCGTGTGCCATCAATCCCTGTTTGACAAGCCTCGGTCAAGGCAAAGGAGAAATCAACTGATGAAGACATTGACGTTACCTGAAGCGTTGCTTCAGTGATTCCGTGCGCAGAGACGTCGATGTCCGGATTGTTTTCATGTCCAGAGGTGGAGTGATTGGCTGCTTGGTTGTTAGAAGAACAAGGAGCCCCAAATCAAAGCGCTCACTCAGGACAGCCATCAGCAGGGCGAGAAAATCTGCATGAGACACCTGTAGAGCAATGAGATCCCAGAATGGGACAAGTTGCACCTTCACACTCACCAGCAGCAACATTCCGTCTTGACCCATCTCATTGTGAAGGTACGCGCTTTTCAACCAAGATGAAAGCCTTTCCGCTCTGAATTCAAGACAAGTAAACCAAGGGTTCTTTTCCATTGATATCTTGCTAACCGCTGGATAGCCTCCGTTGTCCCTTCGAATCCTCTCCCAGAGTCCCATGGGCCAGAAGGGGCAAGCTTGACACATCGAATCCAAATTGCTGTAACAAGTCGTCAGATGGGAAGCTCAGTGCAGGGAGATGTCGTCAAGACCTGCTTGATCGTCATTGCTTCCATTGCTCTTCCCGTGACCTTGTTGAACTGTAGATTTCGACTGTTAGCCGTCGAGCGCAGATAGGTCAAAAGGCTGTCTACCTGGCCATTTGGCGACCGCTGGGCTGTGTAGATCCCTCCAACTTCGCAAAGATCTCCTCTCACCTCCGCTGTCTGTTGTGACTGTGTCATCAAACCCTCCCGATCGTCAGCATCACAACACTCACGGGGAGATTGAGCGCCCCGACGATCACCTTCGCAGTTTCACATGCTCGTCTCATGGGAGACGTCAAGACGCGGAACCTTAGCAGCGGACCTTTTCAGTGCCTTCAAGCTTCAACAAATATGCTTACCTCTTGCATCCTGATTTTTTCGGCAGTTTCTTTGCGTGCTCCATCAACCTCTTCAGCTGCTCTTTCCCCGCGGGTGAAAGTTCGGGGTCGTCTTGGCGCATCGAGCTGGTTGGAGTGTGAGGAGGCGAAGCATTGCACATGCATCGTGCGAACTCACAGCCATTCGTCTTGAGCCTGTTGCTCGCTTGCCTTCCCTGATGTGATTTTGGTATGGACCTGAGCTTGGACGATGTTGTTCATGGATTGTGCATGGCGGATGAGGAGAATTTTCATGTTTCCAGAGCTTGCTGAAACCACAGAACATCAGAATTGGCCACGTGCTCGTGAGCAAAACTAACTTTTCCTTCTCAATCTTTCTGTTTACCTACAATTACAAAGAGACACACGCGAAAGAAAAGTGCGTGAGGGAGGAGAGAAGCATTCTATAGATCTCATTGTGATGATATGCACGATCAAAAATCGGACAGGAGGGTATAGCTAGAGAACAACGTAAGGAAATAGAAGACGAAGTTGCGATACAAGATGTTGAAAAGAGGAGAACAAGTTGGCAAGCGCGAAGCTCGGTAAGTTGCAAGCAGTTGTCGAACATAAGACAAAGTAACAAGAGGTTTGGGTAAGTAAAGAAAGGGCTCGTTGAGTACAAAGGAGCAGGTGTGAACGAGTCAAGAAGGACAAGTAAGAAAACAAAGGAGCAAGAAGAGAAGAATGAGGGCAGGTGTTGTTGTTGTTGTTGTTGTTGTTGTTGTTTTGTTTTGTTTTGTTGTTGTTGTTGTTGTTGTTGTTGTTGTTGTTGGTGGTGGTGGTGGTGGTGGTGGTGGTGGAGGTGGAGGAGGAGGGAAGGGGAGGAGGAGGAGGAGGAGGAGGAGGAGGTGGAGGTGGTGGTGGTGATGGAGGAGGAGGAGGAGGAGGAGCAGGAGGAGCAGGAGGAGCAGGAGGAGCAGGAGGAGAAGGTGGAGGAGGAGGAGCATGTGTGGCATCGGAGTTGGGGGATATTCGTGTTGCGCATGCTTGAAAGGGACGATCATTTAGTCCGACAAACTGATATTTGGGAGGGGGGGTATAAATTATTATCGTGACAACATAATTCATGACATATTTTGAAAATATGTTTGATAAATATCAAAATAACAAACAAATATTGATGATAATAGTTCATATTGATGCCCTTGAAGGAAAGATCACAGCTCCCTGGAGCAAGGCACAAACCCATACCACTTCGTTTCAAGGGTGGGTTTCACAAAACATGGGTAGGGTAATTATGATAGGGGTGGGGGGTACTTTTTATTTTTAAAATTATGCAGATTTGACTGTCCACCAAACTTCTCATTGAAATAAGAACTAATTTACATTTGCTGTCTTAGATTCTTTTCATAAGGACATAGAAATCAATTTCAACAGGAGGGGTGGTGTTAGTAATTCTGGAGGTGGTGGTGGTGATAATGGATTGTAGTGGGTAGGGTGATAGTTCGAAACGTTCCAATATCGTGACTGTTTTGATTCCAAACTTGTGGCCTTTTGAAAGGTTGCGTTTTGTTTATGTACCCATTCACCCACCCTTGGGTTCTCGTCCACATTCAAAGTACCCCCACCTACACAGAATTTCATGATGACCCCTACTTTCCGCACAATTCAGTATTAAAGTACCCCTCATAGAATCACCTCTACCCCAGCATTCTTCACATGCTATGACCACCACCCACCTCCACCTTCAACCTTCAGCACCCTTCCTATCGGGGGAGCACAAGGATTTAAAAGCATATTCCCCGGGCCCGGCTGCCCCTGTCATCCGATTACGTACCGCCCCGGCCCGGGCCATGACCGTACACCCGGTGCCACGCGGCCGCCGGAGGCACCGGGTGGATTGAAGTTGGCACGGACACTGAGTACCCGGTACCCGGCCCGTACTAACTTTCAGCTTATTCAACTGAGCGTAACTTCTTTGAGTAACTCAGTGACTAGCATCATTGAACTCCGAACTCTTGAACTTGATCATAGGTGGATGATCAGCCGTTACCGCTGCGCGTTGCCAAGTTGAACTTGTTACTTTGAGTGAAATGGCTGGCTCAGTCAGCTTCCGATCAAACTTTGAAAGTTGAAGCGCCGTGAGAGTCAAGCCTCCTCGACGGGAGTCTCCTGATTGTATCCTCGTACTGTTTTTTGAATTCACTTTGAGTCAAGGATTACATACATCTAAACTTAACTGAAGGCTGAATAGTAAAGAGGAGGAACTGAACCTGGAATCAGAAGCCTCGGAATGACACTTGGAGGAAGTTTCGGCAGTGCACAAAAAGGAACTTGAATAAAGGCTCCCTCGAATCAGTCACTCGGATGGAAAATTTCAGTGGCGGTGCCCTTGTGTACAGATAAATTGCACATGGTCGTATGATTAGCAGAGCTACGCATTGAATAAATTCTCCATCTTCACATAAAGGCTATTCCCACCCTGGGTAATCATTCGACGTCGACAAGTCAGTGTAAGCCTTCTCCACGAATCGCACACTCTCAAGACAACCTCAGGGTTTGAATCCATGGACCGGAAAGGATCGTTACCAAAGTCAATCTGAGGGAATAGCCATAAGTGATCTGGGGGCGCATTGAAACAGGCATTACCTGTACATCATCCCTCAACAAGAACCAGAATGACCTGGCCATCATGGTGGCGTAAATATTGAATAGCGACGTGAAGACCTGAATAAACAAAGTAAAAACTCCTTAGAATGCTCAAAGAAATGTTGGACACCATAGACAGCGAAGAATACAGGTATGCGAAGGATTTGAAGCGTGAAACGTCGTACTTTGTGCACGACATCACCTGTGTAAATTCACATGATCAATGGTGGTAAGGCAGCGATTTTCAGATGCAAACCTTTGGATCTTGACATGATGTGGCGTTAGGAAACAGTTCTCTGCATTTGTCGCATGATTGATTCTCAATGGCAAGGGCATCCGTTTCACTAGCAAAGTTACAAAGTTCAGCAAAAACACGTCTGCTCAGAAAATGTATACATGGTCGACAAACGAATGATCTCGAAGATCAGGTACAAGAACGCAAAAACCATCCATCCGATGAAGACGATCTTAGCCAGAGAGGAGTTTCTCTTGCTGTGCGCGAGCATGCCAACAATCTATATGACAATTAGCTCTGCAGGACTGTAGCGACATGCATGCCTGGGCGGCGCCCAAGAAAATGAAAAGTAAGATTCGGTAGACACCCAGGCCGTAGGTGTTGAATGATCCTACTTCTTCCCAAACGTTCTGCTTCCTGAGCAGGCTCAATCCCTCATAGAACACCCCGAGCACGCAGAGTCCAAGAACAAACTTGCAGAAACTCCTGTAGCCAGCTCAGAGAACTTGTAGAGGAAGAGTCAGAAGGGGAACCGGAAGCCCTTGTCCAAGTCATAGCATCCACAGATGAGCCTGGTGGGTCTCAGCAGGACCAGGAGGAGCGGAGGCAGGTGCATGCCCTCTTGACCTTGCTGCTAGCAGTTTGGCATGGCAGCCAAGCCTTCGTCGGTGGGCCATCTAATTTTTGGGGGTAGGGGTACTCAAGTACCCCTCCGATTTACAGTCAAAAGACGGGTATAATGAGGGTTTCAAATGAGGGACGTAGGACAGAAGTCCGCCTCAGGGCATGTAATCAGGCGGGCCCCGGGGATGCCCAGTGTCCGGATCATCACTGAACTGAAATTGAGATGACAATGCCTATCAACCACCTGTTGGTACATTCCTAGGACCACCTCTAGTGCAGGTATAGAATACCCTAGGACCACCTCCCGCTGTCAAGCGCCATGCTTTGAGTAAGCTAACCTGATACCCATAATGGCGGGGAAAGTTTGGCGGGGCGAGGGAAAGGAAGTGCATGGGCGGCAATGTGCAAGAGACGCTGGGAGAGGGCACACCATGCTGGAAGGATGATGATGCTTCTAAGGAGGAGAATTGTGCAGGTACCAAGGACGTTGACTCTTGGAAGGTGCCAGGAGAGGAAGGCAGCGCTAATATTGACTTAGTGCTTGGTTGACACAGAGGATTTTGGTGTGAGCGACTACCTGTCGGGACAGCATGGGGAGTTCCAGATCTCTGCTGTTCTTGATCATGGCAATCCTGCAGGTTCGGAAGTTCGAGGGTTCGTTGGTGAGCTCCTGGAGCTTCAATGGTGACCTGAGTGACTCTTCAGTCTATTCCAACACTCTGCAAGGAAACAATGTAGAGTTCTTGACTACCACAGCATTCCAATCGATTCTTTGGGGACAATACGCACATGTCGCTGGAGACAACTCATACGCCAGACGTGTTGACTTTGACTTCATGGTTTCTAATGGGGAGTTCACTGTGGAGTTCTGGGTCAAGATCGATTCGCAGCAGTACAACATCTTCACATTTGCGAATCTGACAACTACCTTCCTGCAATTTTGGAATGTTGGATCACAAGCTGGCTGCCAATTTGAAATCGGGGGAGAGTTCCCAGTCATTCCCGACGCTTTATGCACTGCACTGCAGAGCAATTCTTGGCACCATGTCGCGATAGTTGGAAATTTTACAGAGATCTTATGGTATCTTGATGGCAACTTTGAAGGATCAAGCTCTTTGCAGTCCAATCATTCCATCCCAGGTGTAGGAAACCTCACCATCGGTTTCAATTCAGACCTGGCAAACTTTTCAGCAGGGACATCTCAAAGCATGTCTGATTTTCGAATGTGGAACACAGCTAGGTCAGCAGCCAGCATCCAAGAGTTCCTTTTCACTCGCGTGCCGTACTTAAATTGCTCTGCAGGATACGAGGGGTTGGTACAAGCAAGCGGATTTGACTGTTCGCAATGCAGCCAGGGCATGTACAAATCCTCTGCTGGTATCCAGCTCTGTAGTACCTGTCCAGCGAACAGCTCTTCAACGACAAACCGAGAGAATTGCTTGTGCAACCAAGGATACGAACAAACCGACCAATCAAGTCTCCAGTGTACTATGTGCCAACGAGGAACATACAAAGAAAATATTTCAGATCAAAGCTGCAAACCATGCGATGCCGGCACCTACGCAGACCAGGAGGGCTCGACCTACTGCACGGCCTGCACGGGGAACGCAAGCTCGCCGGTAGCAAGCGACAACATCACAGCATGCCTGTGCTTGCCGGGGTACACGGGCAGCTACGCGGAGGGGTGCAGGGCTTGCGAAGTCGGGAAGTACAAGCTTGTCAACGGGACGGACACCTGTACGCCATGCGCGATCGGGACATACAAGAACATGTCCGGGCCGGGGGCTTGCTACGAGTGTCCGGCGCACTCGTCGACGGCCAACACGAGCAGCGTGTACTTGACGGACTGCGAGTGCAACGTAGGGTACAGCGGGGAGAAGGGAGGACCGTGCACGATCTGCTCGGCCGGGTACTACGCCGACGTCCCTGGACAGACGCAGTGTATGGCATGCGACGCCGGCACCTACGCAGACCAGGAGGGCTCGACCTACTGCACGGCCTGCACGGGGAACGCAAGCTCGCCGGTAGCAAGCGACAACATCACAGCATGCCTGTGCTTGCCGGGGTACACGGGCAGCTACGCGGAGGGGTGCAGGGCTTGCGAAGTCGGGAAGTACAAGCTTGTCAACGGGACGGACACCTGTACGCCATGCGCGATCGGGACATACAAGAACATGTCCGGGCCGGGGGCTTGCTACGAGTGTCCTCCCTTGACTGGGACACCTCAAATTGGAAGTTTTTCAATAGAGGATTGCATTTGTATTGCCGGGTACTATCAATCGAATGTCTCGAATTGTACCATTTGTCCAACGGGAATGTACAGTTCGATTGCTGGAAGCACAGCCTGCACTGCATGCGACGCCGGCACCTACGCAGACCAGGAGGGCTCGACCTACTGCACGGCCTGCACGGGGAACGCAAGCTCGCCGGTAGCAAGCGACAACATCACAGCATGCCTGTGCTTGCCGGGGTACACGGGCAGCTACGCGGAGGGGTGCAGGGCTTGCGAAGTCGGGAAGTACAAGCTTGTCAACGGGACGGACACCTGTACGCCATGCGCGATCGGGACATACAAGAACATGTCCGGGCCGGGGGCTTGCTACGAGTGTCCGGCGCACTCGTCGACGGCCAACACGAGCAGCGTGTACTTGACGGACTGCGAGTGCAACGTAGGGTACAGCGGGGAGAAGGGAGGACCGTGCACGATCTGCTCGGCCGGGTACTACGCCGACGTCCCTGGAAAGCCGCAGTGTACGGCATGCGACGCCGGCACCTACGCAGACCAGGAGGGCTCGACCTACTGCACGGCCTGCACGGGGAACGCAAGCTCGCCGGTAGCAAGCGACAACATCACAGCATGCCTGTGCTTGCCGGGGTACACGGGCAGCTACGCGGAGGGGTGCAGGGCTTGCGAAGTCGGGAAGTACAAGCTTGTCAACGGGACGGACACCTGTACGCCATGCGCGATCGGGACATACAAGAACATGTCCGGGCCGGGGGCTTGCTACGAGTGTCCGGCGCACTCGTCGACGGCCAACACGAGCAGCGTGTACTTGACGGACTGCGAGTGCAACGTAGGGTACAGCGGGGAGAAGGGAGGACCGTGCACGATCTGCTCGGCCGGGTACTACGCCGACGTCCCTGGACAGACGCAGTGTACGGCATGCGACGCCGGCACCTACGCAGACCAGGAGGGCTCGACCTACTGCACGGCCTGCACGGGGAACGCAAGCTCGCCGGTAGCAAGCGACAACATCACAGCATGCCTGTGCTTGCCGGGGTACACGGGCAGCTACGCGGAGGGGTGCAGGGCTTGCGAAGTCGGGAAGTACAAGCTTGTCAACGGGACGGACACCTGTACGCCATGCGCGATCGGGACATACAAGAACATGTCCGGGCCGGGGGCTTGCTACGAGTGTCCGGCGCACTCGTCGACGGCCAACACGAGCAGCGTGTACTTGACGGACTGCGAGTGTATCCCTGGATACTGGGGTCGCAACGGTCACGCTTGTGATGCCTGCATTCCAGGGCAGTACAAGGAGGAGCTTGGGTCGCACAACTGCAGCTCGTGCCCAGCAGACACCTACCTCAACTTCTCTGCCTCGAATACGCGACAAGACTGCGCCGTGTGTCCTGCGCATTCGAGCTCTCCAGTAGGGAGCGACAACATCGTAGACTGCCGGTGCAACAAGGGGTACACAGGTCCAGACGGGGGTCCATGCGAGGCCTGCCCGACGGGGAAGTACAAGAGCGTACTGGGGTCTTCGGGTTGTCAAACGTGTCCGAGATATTCGGATTCTCCCTTGGCAAGCATCGTTTTGTGGAATTGTTCTTGCAATCAAGGATATTTTGGTCCCTTTGGTGACTCTGGCATCACGTTCACTTTTATCTTTGGTCATCAGTGTACGGCATGTGCAGTGGGCAAGTACAAAAATACTTCTGGATCAAGCCTGTGCACTGATTGTCCGACATATTCCACTACGCCCTCACCAGCCAGTCCCAATAGGACGGATTGTACATGCAACGTAGGGTACAGCGGAAACGATGGAGAGAAATGTACGATCTGCTCGGCCGGGTACTACGCCGACGTCCCTGGACAGACGCAGTGTACGGCATGCGACGCCGGCACCTACTCAGACCAGGAGGGCTCGACCTACTGCACGGCCTGCACGGGGAACGCAAGCTCGCCGGTAGCAAGCGACAACATCACAGCGTGCCTGTGCTTGCCGGGGTACACGGGCAGCTACGCGGAGGGTTGCAGGGCTTGCGAAGTCGGGAAGTACAAGCTTGTCAACGGGACGGACACCTGTACGCCATGCGCGGTCGGGACATACAAGAACATGTCCGGGCCGGGGGCTTGCTACGAGTGTCCGGCGCACTCGTCGACGGCCAACACGAGCAGCGTGTACTTGACGGACTGCCAGTGTATCCCTGGATACTGGGGTCGCAACGGTCACGCTTGTGATGCCTGCATTCCAGGGCAGTACAAGGAGGAGCTTGGGTCGCACAACTGCAGCTCGTGCCCAGCAGACACCTACCTCAACTTCTCTGCCTCGAATACGCGACAAGACTGCGCCGTGTGTCCTGCGCATTCGAGCTCTCCAGTAGGGAGCGACAACATCGTAGACTGCCGGTGCAACAAGGGGTACACAGGTCCAGACGGGGGTCCATGCGAGGCCTGCCCGACGGGGAAGTACAAGAGCGTACTGGGATCGTCGGGTTGCGTCAGCTGCAGTCCAAACTTCTACGTCAACACCTCCGCTGCTACTGTTTGCCTTGCCTGCCTGTCAGGGAGCGTCTCTAACGAGGGAGACTTCGGATGCATCTGCGACAGGGGGTACGAGACTACTAGCGACCTCCTCAACCCATGCAGAGCCTGCACTTCCGGCTCGTTCAAGCCTTTGAACGGCTCAGGTCAGTGTGTCCTCTGTAGCCCAGGCACATACAACAACGTGAGCGCCGCCAGCTCTTGTGCGCAGTGCGACCCTGCGATGAAGATGTCGGAAAATCTTCTACTGGCCTGTCAGTGCGATCCCAGTTGTAAAGTGGCATGCGACAGGAACCAGCACGCATGTTTCCTCAGTCAGAGGGGAGGCTACAATCAGTCTGTGAACGTGTGTGCGCTGAGAGGAGGGATTTTGATTGAGAGAGGTAACCAGGCCGATCACTGCTGAAACGTGAACTAATCTTGTTTCTGCAGGAAACCTCTCCGTGTATCCTGTGGACATATCCCGAGTCCTGGCGTTGATCTCTGCCTTTGAAGGCTACTACTGGACTGGAACGACCCAGCAGGCAGACTCGCTGGGGAGGGACTGGTGCTCGCTGTCGCGCTGGATCGCGGGCTCCCTCGATGTCGGGCCTCGCGGCTTTAACACTTACATGGCCGAATGCGACTCATCTCACTACTCGGTGTGCATGATCTGCGAAGAGAACTACTGGCTGGAAGTCCAGGGATCCACGTTTTCCTGCAAGCTCTGCCAGTGTGAAGCCGGCTCCTATAAGAACTCGAAGTGCTATGGCAGAGACAATGGATGCGCTTTGTGCCCCGGCGGCACCTATGCTGTGGGACAGACGACAACCTGCCTGTCGTGTACAGCTGGGAAGTACGTGGGCACTGACGCATGCAAACATTCTCTGACTCTCGCTGACAGGTACAGCCTTGCTGGTGCAACCTCATGCTCCTCGTGTGCCAACGGCACGTCGACCAAGCTCGGGGACTCAGTCTGCTATGACTGCGCTGCAGGATGGTTTAGTGTCGGCGACGGTTGCGAGAGGTGCCCTGTCGGGCAGACATCTGTCAGGAAATCTTCCTCGTGCGCTCCCTGTGCCCCTGGCTATGTGACGCCCTTCTCCACCTTCTGCGAGCCCTGTCCAGCTGGGAAGTTCTCTCCCAACTCGACTCAGCTCTGCCAGCTCTGCCCCAACGGAACTTTCTCGGAAGCCGGTTGGTCAGTCTGTCAAGCTTGTCCAGTTGGAAAATTCGCTGGATCGAGTGGAAGAAGTTCCTGTACCAACTGCGAGATCGGCAAAAGTTCTACCTCCGGCCAATCCACATGCTCGGGATGTGTCCCTGGAAAGTTCTACCGGGCCAGCGACTTGACTTGCGCGTCATGTGCCACGGGGACGTACTCGAACTCTTCTCAGTCTACGTTCTGCTGGTGATGAGGAGGAGGTCGAGTCGCTAGTCAAGCTGACTGTGTTGTTAGGTTGTGTTCTCCTGGTTTCTCCTCGGACACCGACTCGAGCACCTGTTACTCCTGCCCATCTGGGAAATATTCTCAGCTCGGATTTGCCGCCTGCCGTAATTGTGAAGCAGGAAAGTTTGGGGTGGAGGTCAATGCCACCACCTGCATCCTTTGTGCTGCTGGGAATTACTCCAACATCTCGGGAGCCAGCTCACCAGAGGCTTGTTCTACTTGCAGTCAGGGATACTTCTCGCTGGTTGGGAGCTCGTCCTGTGCAGCTTGTGCGGTTGGAAAGATCTCTAACGTACCAGGAGCAACGTACTGCACCGACTGTCCCGCAGGCAAGACGTCAGTCAGCGGGTCCTCTAGCTGCTCCGCTTGCCCAAAAGGGAAGTACTCGACAGGGGGAGGCGACTGCAGCCAGTGCGAAGCAGGGAAATATTTCTCAGATACAGGGGCTACGTCATCTACTTTCTGTCTGGCCTGTTCGCAAGGATCATACTCGCCCCGGGGGTCAGCGACGTGCACCTTTTGCAAGGAAGGACAGATTGTGTCAGCTTCCAAGGATGGGTGCACGTCCTGCAATCTACCAGTGAAGGACGTCAAGTGGACCAATGCTGGTGTGGACTGTAGTTGGACATGCCCGGAAAAGAAGTATGACGCATGGCTGTGCTGTGTCCCAGCTTGAAGGTTCTGACCTCTTCGCAGCTTCAGGTGGGTACGTGACAAGTACTTCGTCCAGTGCTTCCCTTGTCCCTTCGACGCACCGATACCTGGTAGAGCGAGGCAGTACCGGACTTGAAGGACCTGACTACGTGCTCAGACGGTGAAACCTGCACCTGCCCACCCTCTGCCCCCTTCCTACGTGTCTACGTGAAGGCAGATCCAAGTGACAAGGTTAGAAGGTTTCTGACTTGACGTCTGATCCCATTCCGCAGGGTTCCTCGTTCCTTCTATCGTCTCTGTCCAGTGTGTGTCCGAGGACAAGGGAATACCGCAAGTAATGTGCTCCTTCCCTTCTCCTTTCCTCGTCCACCCCTCCTCCCTGATTCTCTCTCTCCTCTTCTCCTTCTTGCCCTTCTCTCCTTCTCCCCTACTCTATCCTCTCTCTCTCTCGCTCTCCTCCCTTCTCTTGCTCTCCATCCTCCTTATCCTGCTCCTTTCAGCCCATTGGAGACATGCCTCCCTCCAAGCCTGCCAAGTGGTGCTGCTCCACCAACAACGCTACCTGCAGCACCCAGAGGTCAGTTGGGGAGCTGCTGAGGACGACACTGAAGGAGATGGCTGTGCAGGTGCAGCGAATGTTGGGTTCCTTACAACAACCCTCCTGACATTCCAGTCTGCTGAAGGGAAAGTTGAATTTGAAAAATGTTATGTTACATGTTTCTTCCTGTCCTCCTACAACTTCCTGCATGCCCGGCTGCCTGTCTGCCTCATACAGACATTGACAGACTCTGACGGCTCCTGCCGGTCCTGGCTCGCATCGATCGCTGCGCGTCGTCGAATGTAGCGAAAGTCACGTTACCAACCGGAGTCTGCGGTAGGAGTGAGAAGGGAAGGGATACGAGCGACTATACTGAAGGGTCTTGACCGACGATAGAAGCAGTCCAAACACCTATAGAGAGGTTGTTTCCTATTCGCTCCACAGTCAGTCACCCCGGACTGAGTTGAGGCAGTGGAAGTTACGGCTGTTTGGGGAGAGAGCCTTTGGTGACCTCCGCACCTCCTGTTGACGAAACATTATGACCCGTTGCAGCTCTACAAACAAGTCGAGGAATGTTTGAGAAACATGTTGAAGACATCATCATCAACATCAAGGACAACACTTCAAGGAATATCACGGAAACCAACTCGTCAGTTTTCAGCGAATGTCTCCAACCTTGAAGTTGTAAGAAATCTCTTCAGGTCGTATGCTGCTCTGTACATCTGCTCGACAATTCTCTATCTCACGCTCTATCATCTCCAAAATTTTTGCCGCATGATCTTCGGTAGCAGAGCTCTGGTCCAACAATCTGATCTTTTCCTTCACGCTTCCCATTGCCTTCAACGCTCGTCATGTCATGTATGTGAACTCGTTAACTCACCTTAAATCCAACGACGTAATGTAACGAACGCAACAATCTGTGATGATGTGCAGAGCTTGCAAAGCAGTGTAACGTAGCAAACAGTAACTTCTTGTCCACACTGAACGAGAGCAGAAAGTCAGCTCTTGTTGCTGTCATCGTGAACGAGTACTCACTTGACCTCGTCAAACGTCAAAAACTGACATAGCTCTTCGATGAGACCGAGGGTGACAGTAAATGACAAAAGTCTGCAAATCAACGGAGGCGTCACCAGCCCCAAACTTCAACTCCTCTTACCTTTCAATCCTTGTTCTCTCCATGTTCGCTCTCGTGGAGATGAGTTGCAGAAAGATACCGATCGCTTGATCTGTGATCTTGAGCAACAACATGTCAAACTTTCATCTTCAATCAGTCAGGCTCACTTCGACGTCCCTTCCTTTCAACAGTGTGAGACACAGGGAAAGGAAACCTTTCTCTGATGCGCATTCCCAACCTACTCGTGAACTTCATCATCTTCATCCCACCACGCTCACTTGACCTCGTTCACAGTCGCTCGACAGCCGCACTGAGGCCAAGAGGTTGGCAAGCACGTGACCCCTGACCTGCTCTTGGGAGGATGAAAATTCCTCTATAACATCAATCTACATTCATCACCAACAGAATATGACGTTGCAAAATGTCTCACCAAGACTTTTACTCTGTCAGGATGCTCCGCAAAAGCCTTCCTTGCGGGAATGGAACCCGAGAGCAGGTTTCGAAAGCAAGCACACGCAGAGGAGAGGAGAAGAGGGTCGCGGTCTGCGAAGCTGCGCAGGTAGTGCTGCGAGACTAACTATCAGCTGGTCGAGAGCTGAAGGAGGGGAGGTTACCTGAATGACTAGAAACACTTGCTGTACCAGGTCGGCTTCAAGTAGCAGGCTCTGGAGTAGAGTCGGTACACTATGTGACATGTTCACACAAAGTAACGAGAATCTCGCTTGATGACGTGGCAAGGGAGGCGCAAGCTCCGAGGACCTGAGAGAAAATTTCAATGGAGGAAGACGAGAAGATGGAGAGATGGAGTAAGGAGAGGAGGAGGAGGAGGAGGAGGAAGAGGAAAAATGAGGATGAGGGTGAGGGAGATCAAAACGGAGAGAACGAGAAAAAGGAAGACGAAAATGGAGAAGTAGGAAGAAGAACAGGAAAAGGAAGAGGAAGAGGAGGAAGAGGAGGAAGAAGAAGAGGAAGAGGAAGAAGAGGAGGAAGAGGAGGAAGAGGAGGAAGAGGAAGAGGAAGAAGAGGAGGGGGGGGGGAGGAGGAGGAGGAGGTGAAGGGAAGGAAGAGGAAGAATAAGGGAAGAGGAGGAGGAGCAGGGATATGAGAAAAGAGGAACCTGGGTTCTAGTGGCGGATGTGCCTCGATGAAGCAGCCAGTCAAACACAGAAACAATCCCCTGGCGTTGTTATATGTAAGGAGTGAGAGAGCAATGAGGAAGTCTGACTAGTTGAACGCTGAGCTTCCTGGATTCGGGGACATCTAAGACAAGTGTGAGAGGCAGGCAAAGTCAGTCGGTCAGTCAGTCAGTCAGTCAGTCAGTCAGTCAGTCAGTCAAGTAGCTCCAGAGTTCTTCACCTGCAAGTAGCATGCGGATACATGAGACTGCGTTTGGGACATAACCCTCTTCCCCGTTGGACCTTTCGCACGCTGAGGAAACTCAAACCACACGAGCAGCAGCTGCACCTGTAGTTGTGCGGGTCTGACAGCAGAGATTGCTCGACGTCGCTGGATTCGAGCTCATGCTTGGCATAGGGAAGTTTGAACGTCTTGACGTTGCAAAGAAACCATGTTCCTATTACATGCAAGGTCAGTGCAGAGTTGCATGAGCCCTGTCTGCTCTCGCCTGTAATGAGCTGCAGAAATATTCGCAGCCCACCACTTGTGAAGAAAATTCGCTTCAGGAAAGCTTCAGGAACAAGAACTCAGAGAGCTATAGTCTTCTTACTTTTCCATCTACATTGTTGACAAGAAGATTTCTCATTGCTGTCACAACAAACTCTGATGTTCTTGTACAACTTTCATCACAAAGAGACGACAATCCCTCCTGATTGCTAATCAAACGCTGTAGAACATCTAGTCTACAAACGACCTTGAACGTGATCTTCAGACGAGTTATCAGCGCTCCAATGGCGCCGCTCACTGTCAGCTGTCTTTGTGCATACTCGTTCTGGAAGCTCAGATTTTGTACAGCAATAATCGCTTGCAGGACAACATGTCCTGACACTTTCGCATCGTCTGCAGAATGTCAGGGTAGCGTTTGACACGTAAATAGCAAGTGACCGATGACGCGAACGATTTCTTTGTGACCACTCGCATTGATGATTCTCTCTCCACGCTGTTCAGGATGACACCTGCATTTGTTTTTCAATCGTTTCCATCATTCCTACTGCGCAAAACGACATACATTGCAAGATTGCAAAGAATTCCTACACAACACTCGGCGACTTCAGGTGTTGCATACCTGTTCAGAAGTTCAGCATGAAAGCATCTAACAACATACACGTTATCAGTCTACTTGCTCCTCTCTGCCAGCGTTCTACAAACTTCCTCTACACTCCTGTTCTCCTTCAACGTAGCGAGCTGTAAACACATCGTCAGTTGAAGTTGAGGGAAGTTATTGTACAACCCTTCCAGTCTCTGAAGTCGAGCAGTTGTAGACTAGCCTGACCGTCACCTCGGCCAACTTTCTCCAATGCACTTCAAACGATCTTTCATTGATGATGCGCAGCAGCCGCAAGAATCTCCCGAGCAGCCCTGAACGGCTCTGATCACAACTAGCTCCTCCTCCTTCATCTGCTACTCCTCACCACTGCTGACAACATGGTGTACCCCGGTCTCCGACGTCACCTACGGCAAGCACTCTTACACGCTCGATCGTCCCCATCTCAACCCCAACAACGGACATGTCGCAGAGCTCGAAGGCGATGGGTGGCTGCAGAGAGGTAGGCTGGTTTGAACCCTGCTCTGCTGTCACTCCCTCACATGATAGCCGCAAGCCCTCATCGTGTCATGTTACCGCTTATCGTCAGCTTCTTGTCTACTTCCATCTGCTAGATCAGTCATGGGACTGCACCAGGGAGCAACAGGAGCGAACCAGCTCGAAGACTAAGTCAACTTCGCGGATTGCTTCTGCCATGTTGATGGTGAGGAGAGGAGGAGACACGGAGGAGATAAAGTTCGTACGATCCTCCCCCTCCTCCCCCCTTACCTCCTCCTCCCTCCTCTCCCCTTCCCTGTTCTCCCCTCCTTATCCATCCCATCCCATCCCATCCCATCCCATCCTATCGTCCATTTGGCGACTTTTCTTTCTCAGTCTCCTACCTCACCTCTCCTGCTCTCTCCTGCTCTCTCCTGCTCCCTCCTGCTCCCTCCTGCTCTCTCCTGCTCTCTCCTGCTCTCTCCTGCTCCCTCCTGCTCTCTCCTGCTCTCTCCTGCTCCATCCTGCTCCCTCCTCTTCTCTCACCATCGCATAGCTCCTCCAAGGAGCCGTACGCCGCCATTGCGCCCGATCGCCCCCTTTCCATGGGAACCCGCAGAAAGAAAATTTTGAAAAGTTGAGCCGGGGTATCGGAGTAGGGAGGGAGGGACCGCGTGGAAGGAGGAGGAGGAGCAGGAGGAGGAGGGGGAGGAGGAGGAGGAGGAGGAGGAGGAGGAGGAGGGAGGGAAGGAGGGAGGAGGTGCCAGAGGGCAGGGAAGAAGTAGCAGGGAGCCAGGGGGGGGGAGGAGGGGGAAGAGAAAAGCCAGGGGGGGGCGGGGGGAGGAGGGGGGAAGCCAACGTTCAGAGGAAGGGCGGCAGACAACTGCGGCGAGATGGAGCAAGAAGCATGTTCACAAAAATGGCGGGAAACGGAGGGAAGGGACGAGGAGAAGGTGAGGAGAGAGAGAGGGAGAGGGGAGAGAGGAGGCGAAGGGAGGGAGGGGAAAGAAAGGGAGTGAAGGGCGGGAAGGGAAGGGGAGGGGAGGAGGGGAGGAGGGGAGCGGGGGACGAGATTTGCGTGGTTTCCTTCCTCCATACCCTTCTAGCCTACAAAGCAATCTCTTCCTCACCTATTCTTTCCCTTCCCTTCTACTCCCTCCCCTTCTCTCACAGCTTCTACCCTCACCACTTCTCCCCCACATTCTACCTCTTCACATGAAACCATAAGGAAAACTCTCGTTGCGCACGGGTAGACTTGTGTCAAGATAGCACGAAAGGAGAAGTTCTTATTCAAGATCTCAGAGAAGTAAGAAATACACGGGAGGAGACAACAACAGCCGCTATCAAGCCTTGAGCACGCTTTGTATATCCTCAGAATTCATCGATCCAATCATCTGCCCCACCATTTCACCCTTGCAGCCAACAAGACAATATCGAGCTCACCGTCATAAACTCAGCATCCCTGTAGTCTTTGATCAACATCTTACAACCAACCTGCCCAGCCCGTCACCGCCATACCCGCCAGCAGGCAGCAACTCTTACCGATGTCAGTGTGTCCGCATGCTGACTTGTCAAAATCCCAACTGTGAAGGCTCCCGACTTGACGCCAGCCGTCGCTCCTGACGGCGAGTCTTCCACCACCACTGTCTCCTCCGGCTTCAGCCCCAGTCGCTCCATCGCGATCTGGTAGGGCATCGGGTCGGGCTTGGCCTTCTTGCACTCGTCCCCGATGACGATGGTGTCAAACCAGTCCAGCCTTCCCAGCACTGACAGCATGAACTCTGCGTTCTTGCGCGGGGCGTTGGTGACAGCAGCCTTTTTGATCCCTGCCTGGTCGAGGAAGTGGAAAATCTCCTGCAGGCCTAGGATAGGATCAGCACACAGGAGGAGGGGGCATGCAAGGGAAGATCGGGGGACCTTCAATGGGTTTCAGCTTGCCTACTGCCATCTCTCTGAATCTCGCTTCCTTCATCTCACTCCATCGCTCGGCCTGCTCCACCGTCCAGTGCGGGAAGAGGTCCTTGCAGATAAGCGCGTTCTGCCGTCCTGCTATCATGGTGCGAAAGAAGTGCTCGTCGATGGGTTTGCCGCCATTGATCCCCTCCTTCATCAACAGCTCCTGGAAGACTTCAAAGTGCACAGGATCAGAGTCGCACAGCGTCCCATCCACGTCGAACAGGATGCCTCGGACGGCTCCAGGACCTGAAGCAGCTTGAACCGCCGTTCGGGTCATCTTGAACCAGGGATGCCGCAGGGAGGGCGGCGGCTGCAAGGAAGGAGGAGAGGACCTGAGAGAGTGGGGAGGAGGAGGAGGAGGAGACTGAGGAACGAAGCTCTCTACAGCTGCCAGGCTGGCGCATAGCAGCAGCAGCACCCGGCCCCTCCGTGCACCGCCTGCATTCCCCGACATATAAAGGTGGGTGAACCCTCATCCCCACCTAGTTTGGAGTTTCACTGAGTCAGCTGTGAGTCAGTAGCAGGCCAGAGCAGGCCAGGTAGCAGGCCAGAGCAGGCCTGGTACCAGGCCAGTAGTCTGAGTCAGTTCACGGATGAGTCCTCCCCGACGGACGCTGATCGGAGCGGCCAGAGCCTTGGCCAACACTCAGTTTTTCCTGCAGAAGTTCCTGTGCAGAGTGAGTCCGATCCAACAGCTTCCATGTTTCTTCATTGATTAATATTTCTTAAACAACAGTACAGGAGGGGCTTGACCTCTATTGGTTGGAACTCTCGCTCCACTCTATTCCTGGCACGCTCTGCCTAGCGACTTGACAGGCTCTCATGATCGGAGTCAGGACAGTCAGCGCCTGCAACGACGGAACAAGTCAGTGTCCATTGAACAACAGCCAGACACAGCGAGGAAGGCGGAGGGATGTTTTGTCAGAACGATGAGGTATTGGAGAAGGACGAGGTATTTGAGGAGGAGGAGGAGGAGGACACATACCTTCTCTTTGGCAAAGTCGAGCCTCCTGGATCCCTCGAGAGAACGTCTGAGCTGCGATATCTTACCCATGACATGCACATCCTTCCGATGGGACTTGAGCATGCTCTGGAAGTCTGACTTTGAACCACCCTTGTGACAGGGCCAGAGCGAAGGCCGAGATCGCATGTCCTCGTTGAACTCGTCCTCTTGCGCAAAGTCGTAGACAAAGATGACTCGCTCCAGCCTTCCCCACTCGTCGAAATCTCGGATCGTGGTGACTTTGACTATCATTCCGTCCACTTTCCCGCCCACTCTCCCGATGATGGGCCAGTACCGCACGGTGTTCTTGGAGGTGCAGGACGAGCAGATGTCCAGGAGGATAGTCAGGTAGTCCAGCTCAGACCAAGGGAGGTCGACCTCGTTGCGCAGGAAACGGCATTTGAACTCTTCATGGTGGAGCCCAAAGAGGTGACTGAGCGTTGGCCCGAACCGACATCCAGCTCTGTCCCCTGTGCTCTTGTTAGTCTCGAAGGCGATCCATCGGTCGTGCCCGAATCTTGATTGGAAGCTGTTGTAGATGTCTTGGGAGGACTCCTCCAAGTCACCGGGCTTCGCCGAGGATTGAGTGAGGAGCTTGTTGTTGGCTCGGGTGGACTGCAAGCGAACGAGAAAGCTCAGATCTGAGATCCCATCGTTGAGAACCTTGAGGAGATCGTTGGGCAGGTTCTTGAACAGTTTGAGCAGAGTGCTCGAGTGGCATCCGAACTCCCAAGACCGTTTCATCATCATCGGGTTGATGCCGATGACCGTCGAAGCTTGCAAAAGTGCTTGAAAGTCCGGACTCTTGGCGTCCTCAAACGTCATCGAGCAATCAAGTGACAGCGGGCACTCGATACTCTCCGGGGTGAGGAAGCTCACGTTTCCGTTAACCTTCGCGTCGCACTTCGATCCAACTCCCCGCAGCAAACAGTTCCCACAGGGCAGCAAGCCGTTGCATCTCTGCTTCTTCCTCCTACACTCACTGCATGCTCCGTTGGTCAGCCTTGACGGCCTCGTCCTCGCCTTGGAGCTTGTCAACGTTGGAGGTGGTCCAAGCAGCAAATCGAAGTTAGAATGAGGCTGCATTGCAGATTCGTGCAATACATTCAAATTATTCCAAGAGTTTTCAAGTCCCCTGACACCAACAGGATAGCCGACAGTTTGATGATAGGTGACGTCACCATATTCCACCATCTGAGCAGCATTCGAGAAATGCCCGTTTGAGACTGCAGAGTGTTTGATCAGACAAGCCTCGAAAGTGTTGGGTGCCCCACTCTCGAGAGAGGTGGAGAAACGTAGAGCAGGATTTGTCCCGGTGAAGAACTGATCCGAGTGGCCATAGTTTTCAACACACTGCTGGTCAAGCCCTTGAAATCCATCCTCATTTTCGTTGGCCACAGGCGTGAAGATTGAGCTGAGGCCGACCTGGTTCAATTCTTGACAAGCATGAAATGGCGAAACGGAGAGGGGAGAGGCTGAAGGTGGCGCGTTGAGGGAGGAGCCGCTGCCAGAACAAGAACTGATGCTCGCAGAACTCTGAGAGCCTTGCATGAGAGAGCTCGGCGTAGACTGACGCTCGAAAGATTCTTCCGTACACGAAGAGAGCCAATCTGAAGAAGGACTCGAGCGACAGTCGACAGGTCGGGCGATCTCCGAAGCGCCAACGTAACTGGTTTTGGTGTAGCTAGAAGCATTGTCGTTCGCTGATATCGAAAATGTCGTGAGCGCTGAGCTGTGCGGTGGTTCTGAAACATGGTCGAAATGGAATTGCGATGAACTGTTGGGTACATTATTTCCATCTGGCACGGCGAAGGGAAGCGGGCCAGGCTCGAAAATCGCGGGGGTGTACGTTGGAGCAGGGACGGCAACAGAGGAAGAGGAGGAGAAATATTGATCGTTTGCAAATGGTTGATTCATCGGTTGTGGGGAGGGATCCTCGTCGGCAGTGATCTGTCCGGGCACAAACTGAGTTGTAGGGACTTGCTGGGGAAAGGGGTAATTTGCTCCGAACTGGTACGGTGCTCCATACAAACCATGCTGGACAGGGTCTGATGCTGCGAGTGGCTCATGGTAAAATGGTGGTGCCAGTGAGAAATTCGCACCATTTTGTGATGAAACTTCGAACGCCGTGGCATTGTTCGTCGGCATATGCGGTATATTCCCATCATGATTGTTCTGGCAGGGATTCCATTGATCTGGCTGTGTCTCTGGCCACTGCAACCCTTGGTAGAGGTTTGGTTCAAGCACTTGAGAGTGAGTTTCAAGGTAGGGTAAGTTGGCTCGATGTACAACATTATCTTCATCAGTGCTTGGATAAACTGTGGGATGAACGTTGGTGTTCATCTCAATCTGTTGCAATTATACTGTATGATTCCTTGTATGCATGCGAGCAAGAATACTGTTGTGAATTCCTGAGGTAAAAACATTTCAGACAAACTCTACAGATAAATCAAGCATTCAAAGGATAACAACTGCACGATGGCTAAGCGACAGCAAACCATGTTCCCTCCCTGACACTAGGGGCACTTCCTGGTTCAGTTCTCCTTTTCCATCTCTTGATGCACTTTAACCGAATCTCGAAAGCTCGTCTAAACATCATCCCTCCTCTTCCTCAGCCCCTTTGACCTAGCTGATCATTCTAACTCTCCTCCCTCCTCCCTCCTCCCTACTCCCTCCTCCCTCCTCCCTCCTCCCTCCTCCATGTGACCCTCGCTATTGATGTAACTTTCGCCATACCCACTATTTTATCTTGACAACACTGAAATAATGGACCAAGATTTGAAAATTAATGGATATCGTCCAAAATGGTTCAAATATCTGTGGGTGCCTCCCTTATTATTGTACCCCTTCTTTCTCCACGTTTCCGAACAAAAAAGCTAGAGGGGGGGTGGGGGTCCCAGATATCTATCTTCAGAGTCACTTATCAATCCGTACCCTACCCCACTTATTCCATGCTACCTGCCTATGAAAGGTACCCCTACCACCGGTCAGTCCCGCTTTTTACTACAGCCGTTTCCGATGAGTGACCAACCGAGTTGTCCTCGTACTGATTTTTAACTTAACTTTGAGTAAAGTAGGTCTGAGACTGTCACTGAAACCGGGCCCGGGGGGACAGGCCCCGGGGATATGCCTGAGGCGGGCTAGCGCCATGGTGCGAACAACATCCACCAGCGCCCTGCTGATATGCTGCCTGCTGCTGGCGATGCCAGGAGGAGGAGCGAGGGGGGAAGAGACTGATCTCCTGCTCGCAGCTACTTCTAGCTCCAGCCTCTTCGAGCTGTACTCGCAGCATCATCGTGCGGCCCTGGAGGAGGCTCGAACGAACCCTCGCGCTGCAAGGATCCTGGTGTGCCAGCCATTGTACGGGCTAGCAAACCGGCTGAGGGCGATGATGAGCTGCTTTGTGATTGCTCTTGCAACCAACCGCATCATGTTTGTAGACTGGGAGCACCAGCACACGAAGTTCTACGAGAAGGAGATCCGAGACATGCCTGGCGGGCAGCCAGCCCGACTAGGAGATCTGCTGGAACCCCCCGGGTTTGCGTGGGATGCGCAAGATGCACGAGGTCTCATCTCGGAGCGCTTTTCCAGTGGGAAAGTGCTCCACCTTGCGGATGACGTGGAGAGGGACGAGACGCTCTTGTGCCGGAACATATCGTCCGCCCTGTCGCAGTATGACGTGGTCACCTTGAAGACCTACTTCTGGTGGGAGCTTGCCCTTCACAACCCTCTGTATGAGGAGAAGTTTGCGAGGATAGCGGGAAGGGACGAGATCGGTGTGATAAACATCTGGAAGGAACTTGGCCCGAGGCTGTTCCGACCTGTGAAGGAAGTGCGAGTGATGATGTCAGGTATGGACTTGTACTGAGGTGCTGCTGCTGCCGCTCTGACACATTGTTCGATGACTGACTGGGCAGCGTTGGAAAAGCTCTTCCTCCCCGACCGGCTCAAGGTCGGGCTCCACATCCGCATGGGAGGGAACTGGTTCGACCAGGCGGACAAGCATCCAAGGGGAGACAAACTACCAGTTGAAATCGCCAAGTGCTCGATCGCTGTCATACCAAGGGAGCGCCGGGAGGAGCCAGTGACTTACTTCCTTGTGCGGCTGATCTTGTCCGTGTGCTCTCTGCCTTGACTGATTGGCAGGTCTCTGACAACTCGACAGCAAAGTCGATGGCGAGATACGTGCTGGCCAGCGGGGAGAGAGGAGAAAGAGCTCGCTGCTCCTTGCTGGAGGACGACTGTCTGGCGAGCATCCCAATGAGCAGGGAGGAGAGGACGGCCGTTGCTCTCCTCAACGTCCGATCGCATGCTCATGGCCACGGCCCTCTCGAGCATGACGCCTGCAGCAGGTGAGGGTCTTTGACTATCGCAGCGGCTCCAGGATCGTCATGCTGGGTGAGGAGCGGGAGAAGGAAGAGGGGGCTCTGATAGAAAGGCAGATGGGCAGGTCAACCGAGAGTCAGTGTTCGACGTGAAGATCGCAATGGCAGAAGTAGCTCTTCCTCTCCCTCTGTGCTCCCATGTCCTCCTGTTCGCTGATGACTTTCTGCAAGCCCCTCAACAACATCACACCTCCTCGTCCTCGTCCTCGTCCTCGTCCTCGTCCTCGTCCTCGTCCTCGTTCTTCCTCTCGATCTTGTCCTCACTTTCCTCACCCTCCTCGCCCTCGTCCTCCTGGACCTTGTCCTCCTCTGCATCCTCCTCGTCCACTTCCCTCTCTTCCTTCTCACTCACTGCAATGCCTCTCTTTCTCTTCACCTGCCTCACGACTTTCGCAGATGTTTGCTATGTCCAAGGTGGACAGGCTGGTACGCAGCACGGGCTCAACCTTCATGACTGTAGCGTACTCCTTCCTCCCAAAACCAACTTGGTAAAAAGAAGCCCTCCTGCCCCTGCCCCTGCCCCTGCCCCTGCTCCTGCCCCTGCCCCTGCCCCTGCCCCTGCCCCTGCTCCTGCCCCTGCCCCTGCCCCTGCCCCTGCCCCTGCCCCTGCCCCTGCTCCTGCCCCTGCCCCTGCCCCTGCTCCTGCCCCTGCTCCTGCTCCCTCCTCGGCCCCTGCTCCCTCTTGCTCCCCTCCTCTTGCCACGGCCCCTGCTGCTCGTGCTAAGACGAGGAGGAGGTACGTCGAGGAAAGGAGCCTCAACTGCCACAAACAAGCGACAAACGAGCCCATGGCGCTCGGCAACAGCGATGCGATCATCAACCAAGTGGCAACGTGAGGAGGAGGGGGAGGTGGAGGAGAAAGGGGACCGGGAGGAAGAGGAGGAGCACGAGGCGAAGGAGGGAGGAGGAGGAGGAGCGCGAGGAGGAGGAGGAAGAGGAGGAAGGAGCAGGAGGGAGGAGGAGGAGATAGCTGAGCGTGTAAACAGGTCAACAAGCTGTTTCAACCCCAAGACCATGATCACCTTTCCGTGGATTGCTAGCCCGACATAGCGGGAAAGCGCCAGGAATGGGAGCTAGATCAGGGCAAGGGCATCGGGCGGCTTTAGGAGCAAAAACAGGAGGTTTGGCAGCAGCAGGATAGACGAATCAGGAGCAGGAGCAGGAGCAGGAGCAGGAGCAGGAGCAGGAGCAGGAGCAGGAGATAGAGCAGGAGCAGGACTTAGAGCAGGAGCAGGAGCAGGAGCAGCATGGGGAGGAAGAGTTGTACAATAGAATGATTGCCTATGATTGGGAAGCCTTGGGCTCAATCCCATGATGGGATCAGGAAAGTCTGAGAAACAGGAGGAGGAGGAGGAGGAGAAGAGCTGGAGGAGGAGGAGGAGGAGGAGGAGGAGAAGGAGGAGGAGGAGGAGGAAGAGTGATTGTATCGGTAGCAGCAGGACGGGATCGCAGAGGGGGGAGGAGGAAGGAGGAGATCGACACTGGGAGATTACATGAAACTTTACATGGCAAAACAATAAGACATGAAGACAAAACCCCCAACAGCCCCCTCCCCTAGTTCTCAGCCATGATGTTGCGGATAGCAGCAGCAGCATGTTCCTGCACCTCTGCGTCTGCGTTGTTGAGAAGCCCCACCAGCGACGCTATGGCGCCATCCTCTACCAGCCGGACCTTCACCTCGGGGTGGAACGAGAGGTTGCGGATGATGGCGACGGCGTTCTGGAGCACGACCTTCTCCCGGGACCTGAGCAGCTGGACGGCAGGTGGGAGGCAGCCGGACTCGAACGCCCGCATCTTGATCTCGGCGTTGTAGGCGGTCAGGTTGCGGAGGAGAGCGGACGAGTGCTCCGAGATGACAAGACTCGGGGAGAGCACCAGCTTGGCCAGAGCTGGGAGGGCCCCGGCCTGCACGATCCTGGCGTCATGGTCGGAGAAGGAGGAGAGGTTGGCAAGAGCTCCTGACGCTGCGTCCTGTACCAGCGGGTCCTCAGAGGTCAGCAGGGGCACCAGGCCCTGTATGGCCCCCGCCTGAACGATCGCTGCCTCGTTGCCGCTGAGCATGGAGAGGTTCTGCAGCGCCACCGCAGCTTCCACGACCACTCTTTCCTCCTCGCACGACAGGAGCTCCACGAGAGGAGGAAGCCCTCCGTCCTTGACGATCTGTGCTCGGTTCTCGTCCGCCGAGCTCAGGTTGCGGAGCGCGACGGTGCAGTGCTCGCGCACGACTAGGTCGGGGGAGTGGAGCAGCTGGACCAGAGCGGAGAGGCCTCCCTTCTGCACGATCTTGACCTTGATCTCTGGGTTGCAAGAAAGGTTCCGCAGGCAGATCGCCGCGTGCTCTTGCGTCCTGATCGACTGGTCCTTCAGGAGCGAGACGAGGAGAGGAAGGGCCCCGGCAGCTACGATGCTCGAGTCGTTGGCCGTGTCCATGGTCAGGTTCGCCAGCGCCGCTACCACATGCTCTCTCGTCATGGCCTCGTTCACGCTCATCAGCTGGATAAGCGGCGCCAGCCCTCCCTCTTCGATGAACTTCACTTTGATGACGTCATCAGCACTCAGGTTCCGAATGGTGGCAGCCGCCTGCTCCTGGAGGTTCTTGAGAGGGGAGCGGAGGAGGACGACGAGCGGCGAAAGCCCTCCCTCCCTCACCACGTCCTGCCTTCCTCCAGGGTTAGCCGAGATGTTCCTCAGGGTAACTAGCGCTTCCTCCTGGACGATGGGGTCGGGGGATCGCATCAGAGCGATCAGGGGCAGGAGGCCTCCTGCCTGGATGACGCGCGTACAGTTGTCAGCGTGCACGGAGAGGTTGCGGAGGATGCCGCAGGAGTGCTGCTGGATCAGCTTGTCGGGGGACTTGAGGAGCGAGACGAGGAGGGGTATCCCTCCCTCCTGCACGATCTTGAACTTGTTCTCGTCGTGCACCGAGAGGTTTCGCAGAGTGATCGTCCCCTGCCGCTGGAAGCTCTCGCTGTTGTAGCGGAGCAGCGCGAGGAGGGGAGGAATTCCTCCCTCCTCCATGATCTTGATCTCGTTCGCCGGCTCCACCGAGAGGTTCCTGATCGCAACCGCCGCCTGCTCCTGCACCCGCTCGTTGGGGGAGCGGAGCAGGCCTATCAGCAGCGGCATCCCCCCCTCCTCCACGATCTTCTCCGCGTTGTCTGCGTTTACACTCAAGTTCGCCAGCGTCCCTGCCGCATGTTCCTGCACGTCCTCGTTGAACGACCACAGGAGGGCGATCAGCGGCGGCAAGCATCCTTCCTCCACCATCCTGTACCGGTTGTCCACGTTCTTGGACAGGTTCTGCAGCACCATGGCGACCTGCGCCTGAATCTCCTCATGCGGGGAGCTGAGCAGGGCGATCAGCGGGGGAATACCTCCCAGCGCTGCCATCCTTTGCTTGTTGACGTTGGACACGCTCAGGTTCCTCAGGCAGCCCGCCACCTGCTCCTGGACCCTCTGCTCGGGGGAGGAGAGCAGGCGGATCAAGGGCTCTAGAGCTCCCTCCTGCACTATCATCTGATCGTTCTCTGTGTTGACGGAGATGTTGCGCAAGACGGCAGCGGCATGTTCTTGCAGATCGCGATCGTCGATGGAAAGGAGGGCGATCAGGGGAGGAAGCCCTCCTTCCATCACCACCTTGAGCTCGTTGGGCCCGTTCCCTGTGATGTTGCGCAGCGCTAGGCACGCGTTCTCCTGGATCTTCTTGGAGGGGGAGCGAAGCAGCTGGACGAGGGGAGGTATCCCTCCCTCCTCTATCACCCTCGCTGAGTTCTCAGCGTTGACGGCCAGGTTGCGGATCGCAGCGCACGCCTGCTCCTGTACCGCCTGCTGGTTGGTTCGGATGAGGCCGATGAGCGGCGCTAGCCCTCCCTCCAGCACGATCCTCCTCTTGTTCTCTGCGTTGGCGCTCAGGTTGCGGATGGCGCCAGCCGCGTGCTCCTGGACGCTCTCGTTGGTGGAGCGGAGAAGGGCGACGAGGGGAGCCAGGATCCCGCGCTCGACCATGAGGGAGTCATGTGCTGACTTGGTGGAGATGTTGCGGATGGCGACAACGCTGGAGAGAAGAGTGAGAGAGGAGAGGAGAGGAGAGGAGAGGAGAGGAGAGGAGAGGAGAGGAGAGAAGGGAAGGGGAGTGAGGAGCGGAATGGCAGGACAATCGATAGCGGGGCAGGTGTATGAGGAGAGGGGAGGGAGGAAAATAAAGGAGGAGGAAAAGGGGAGGGAGGAAGAAGAGGAGGAGGGAGAAGCGAGGAGGAGAGGGAAGGGAGATAGATAAGGGAAAAGGAGGAGCCATGACGATGGAGGGAGGTAGAGGAAGAAGGTAAACCAGGAGGAAGGAAGGAGGGGAACAAAAAGGGAGGGAAAGGAGGACTGAGGGAGGGAGGGAGGGAAGGAGGAACAGAGGGAGAGAACAAAGGATAGAAGCAGCAGGGAGGGTGTCAGGTAAGAAGGGGAGGGAGTGGAGCAGAGTGTTCCTCCTTACCTCAAGCTCGAACGCCTCGTTCGCCGAGATGTTCCGCAGCGCCACGAGCGCCTGCTCCTGCACCAGAGGCTCGTCTGAGGTGCAGAGGGCGACGAGGGGCCCGACGACTGCAGCCTCAACAAGGGAGCCATGGTTGTTGGAGTTGACGGAGAGGTTGCGGATGCAGCCAGCCGCCTGCTGCTGGATGGCCTTGTAGGGGGACCGGAGGCTCTCGCAGATGGGGGGGAGGCGCGAGCATCGATGATTTTGGCCTCGTTGTCTGCGTTGGCCGCCAGGTTGCGCAGGCAGACGAGCACGTGCTCCTTGATCTTGTCGCTTTCCGAAGTGAGGAGGTCGACGAGAGGAGGAAGTCCTCCCTCCTTCACGATCCTGACCTTGCTCTGCACGTTGACGGACAGGTTGCGGAGGATGACAGCTGCCTGCTCCTGGATCCTCGGCTCGAGGGAGCGGATCAGCGCAATCAGCGGCGGCATACCTCCTTCCCGCACGAACTTGACCTTGTTCTCAGGGTGCAGAGTGATGTTCCTCAAGATCGCCATGACGCAATCGCGCAGGAAGTCGTCGGTGGTGGTCATGGTAGCAATGAGGACGGGGAGCGCTCCTTCTTGGACAATCGCCAGCTCGTTCTCAGGGTTCACCGACAGGTTCTGCAGCGCGCTGGCAGCATGGATGCGGACTTTGTCGTTCTGGGAGCGGAGGAGCGCGATGAGAGGCGGGAGCCCTCCCTCCCTCGCGATCTTCACTTGGTTGGTGCTGTCCATGGACAGGTTCTGCATCAGCACTGCTGCGTGCTCCTGAGCTTGCTCGTTGGTGGAGGAGCGGAGCAGCGCGATGAAGTAGGGCAGTCCTCCCTCCCGCACCATGTCTGCCTTGTTCTGCGCGTTGATGGAGAGGTGGCGGAGGACGATGGCGGCATGCTCGTAGATGATCTCGTGTGGGGAGCGGAGCAGCGCAAAGAGAGGAACGAGGGCGCTTTCCCGCACTATCGCCTCCTCGTTCTCCGGGTCGGTGGAGAGGTTACGAAGGGTGATCACGGCGCTCTCCTGGACCTTGAGATTGACCGAGCGCAGGAGGCCGACGATAGGGATGAGTCCTCCCTCCTTGACGATCCTGACCTTGTTCTGCGGGTTGATGCTCAGGTTGCGGATCGCGACGATCGCCTGCTCCTGGACGGAGGGGTTGGGGGAGCGGAGGAGGTGGACGAGAGGAGGGACTACCCCGTCCCTGACCAGCTTCACGTCCAGGGAGGGGTTGGCGGAGAGGTTGCGGATGGTAGTCACGGCCTGCTCTGCCACGTCATCCTCCGGGTTCGACATAAGGGCGATGAGGGGAGGGAGGGCCCCGTCGCGCACGATCTGGATCTGGTAGGCGTCGATGACCGTCAGGTTGCGCAGGACGCCAGCGACGTGCGGGAGGACAAGCTCGTGCTTGGAGCTCAGCAGGTCCACGCACGCCGCGAGTCCTCCCTCCTTGGCGATCTTGTCCTTGTTGTTGGCGGGGACGGAGAGGTTGCGGAGGAGGACGGAGGCGTGCTCTAGCGTCCCGGCGTCGGTGGACTTGAGGAGGAGGATGACAGCAGAGAGTCCTCCCTCGTCCACGATGTCCTCCCTCGCCTCCTCGTTGACCGAGATGTTTCTCAGGGCCCCGCAGGCCTGGCGAGCGATGAGGACGTTGCGGGAGCGGAGGAGCTTGATCAGAGGGGGAAGAGCACCCTCTTGAACGATCTTCAGCTCGTTCTCAGGATGCGTCGACAGATTCCACACCGTCCCTGTAGCATGCTCCTGTATCGCCTCTCTGTCGAAGCGGAGGAGCGTCAGGACAGGCAGGAGGCCGCCCTCCGCCACGAGCTTCAGCTTGTTCTCGTCCACGAGCGTGATGTTCCTGAGCGCCCCGATCGCCTGCTCCACCGTCGACTCGTTTCGGGAGCTGAGCAGGGAGATCAGAGGGACGAGCCCACCGTCCCGCACGATGTTGTGCTGATTGACGATGCTCCCTGCCGACAGGTTATGGATAGAGAAGGCCGCGAGCTCCTGGATCTTGTCAACGTTGGACTTGAGGAGGAGGATGAGTGGGGGTATCCCTCCCTCCTTGGAGATCCTGTTCTTGTTCTCGGGTATCACTGACAGGTTCCGGAGGGCCCCGACCGCCTGCTCCTGCACGGTCTTGATCTCGTGGCGGAGGAGGTAGATGAGGGGAGGAAGGGCTCCCTCTGCCACCACCTTCGCCTCGCACTCATCGTGGACGGAGAGGTTGCGGATGGCAACGGCAGCATGCTCCTGGATCTTGGGGTCATGGTGGCGCAGCATGCCGATCAGTGGAGGAAGAGCGTCGTTCTCCATGATGGTGATGACGTTGTCGAGCGCCATGGACAGGTTCCGGATGCAGACCACCGTGTGCTCTTGGATGATCTGGAGCGGGGAGCGCATAAGGCCAACCAGCGGCTCCATCACTCCGTCCTGCACCATCTGCAGTTTGCAGCGAGGGTGCATGGAGAGGTTGCGGAGGGCAACGGCGGCATGCTCCTGGATTCTCTCGTTGAGAGAGCGGAGGAGCTCGATCAGAGGAGGAAGTACCCCCTCCTCCATCATCGGGATCTCGTTGGCCTCGTTCATGGACAGGTTCCGGATGATCCCGACGCACTGCTCCTGCACCTTCTTGTTTGGGCTGCGCAGACAGTCCTTAAGGGGAGCTATACCTCCCTCGGACACGATCTTCCCCTGGTTCCTCTCGTTCGTGCTCAGGCTCCACAGGGCCGACGCCGCCTGCTCCTGGGTGCTCTCGCTGGTGGAGCGGAGGAGGGCGATAAGCAGCGCAATCCCTCCCTCCCCAGCGACGGAGTCCTCGTTCTCCCCGGAGAGGTTGCGGATCGCTCCTGCCGCTGCTTCCTGGATCTTGTCGACGGGGGAGCGGAGGAGGGAGGTCAGGCGAGGAAGGGCTCCCTCTGCAACGATCCTCGCTCTGTTCTCCGGGCTGGCGGAGAGGTTGCGCATACACATGACGGCCTGCTCGACGACCAGCTCGTCGGGAGAGCGGAGGAGAGCGATAAGAGGAGGAAGGGCCCCGTCGTTGACGATCCTTATCTTGTTCATGGGGTTCGAGGACAAGTTGGCCAGCGCACCCGCTGCATGCTCCTGCAAGTCCTCGTTGGGGACGCGGAGGAGGTTGATGATAGGAGCAAGAGCTCCTTCTGCCACGATGTCGACCTCGTTCTGCTCGTTGACGGACAGGTTGCGGATGGCGACGACGGCATGCTCCTGGAGCCGCTCGTTCTGAGTGAGCATGAGGTCGACCAGGGGAGGAAGCCCTCCCTCCTGCACGATCATGACTTCGTTCTCCGCGTTGAGCGACAAGTTGCGAAGGGTGACGACCGCGTGCTCCTGGATGCGCTCGTAGGGGGAGCGGAGGAGGGAGATGAGAGGGGGGAGGGCCCCCTCCCCGACGATCATGACCTTGTTGTCGCTGTTGACTGACAGGTTGCGCAGCGTGACGACGGCATGCTCCTGGATGTTAGGATCGGGGTAGCCAAGGAGGTAGATGAGCGGAGGAAGCCCTCCCTCCCTGACGACCTTGATGTCGTTCTCGTCGTTCATGGACAGGTTCCTGATACATCCCGCCGCCTGCTCCACGACGTTCTCGTTGGGGGAGCGGAGGAGGGAGACTAGGAGCTGAAGCCCATCCTCCTGTACGATCTTGATCTGGTTCTCCTCCGACACACTGAGCGACCAGAGTGTCCCCGCCGCCTGCTCGACGACCCGCATGTTGGTGGAGCGGAGGATGCCGATGAGGGGAGGAAGGCCTCCCAGCCTGACGATCTTGATCTTGTTCTCGTCCGTGGTTGAGATGTTGCGGATGGCGAGCACGGCAAGTTCCTGTATCTTCTCGTTGGCGTGGCGGAGGAGCGTGATCAGGGAGGGAAGTCCTCCTTCCTGCACGATCCTAGGGCGGTTGTCGGCGTTGACTGACAGCGACCAGATGGTCCCACACGCCTGCTCCTGGATGTTCTCGTCCTGGGAGCGGAGGAGCGCGATGAGGGGCGGGAGGGCTCCTTCGTCGACGATGTAGACCTTGTTGTCCGCGTTCACCGAAAGGTTACGCAGCGCGACTACCCCCTGGGCCTGGACCTTCTTGTTTCTTGATCGGAGCAGCTCGATGAGAGCTGGGAGTCCTCCCACCTGAACGATCCTGATCTTGTTGTTGGCGTTCACCGAGAGGTTCTGCAGGCAGACCGCCACGTGCTCCTGGACCTCGTCGATGGGGCAGGAGAGGAGCTCGACGAGGAGGGGAAGGGCACCAGCCCTTTCGATCTCCTCCTTGTTCTGCGCGTTCATGGACAGGTGCCGTAGGGCCTCGGACGCGTAGATTAGCGTCTGCTCGTTGGGGGACTTGAGGAGGGAGATTATGGACCCAAGCGCTCCCTCCTGCTGGATCTTGACCTTGTTCTCAGCGTTCATGGCCAGCTGACAGATCGCACCCATCGACTGTTCCTGCACGAGGTCGTTGGAGGAGGACAGGAGGCCGATCAGGGGCGCGATGCCTCCCCGCTGCGCTATCCTCACTTTGTTCTCAGGGTTGGTCGCCAAGTTCATGATGGCAGCAGTGGCGAGCTCGAGCAGGCGGAGGTTGAAGCAGCTTAGGAGCGCAATCAGCGGAGGGAGCCCGCCCTCTCGCACGATCTTGACCTTGTTCTCAGCGTTCTCGGACAGGTTGTGGACGACGACGGCCGAGTGCTCCTGCAGCTCCTCGTCGGGGCTGGAGAGTAGGGCGATGAGGGGCGGTAGACCTCCCTCCCTCACCACCGCCACCTCGTTCTCGTCGTTGACCGCGATGTTCTGCAGAGTTTGACACGCCTGGACTTGAACTCTCTTGTCCCTCGAGCGGAGGAGAGCGATAAGATGAGGCAGGGCCCCTTCGATCACGATCTTGACCTTGTTGTCATTGTTGACCGACAGGTTCCTCAGAGCTCCGGCCGCGTGCTCTTGGATCCGCTCGACCGGGCTCTGGAGCAGCTTGATGAGGGGAGGAAGCGCTCCCTCCTGCACGATCTTGATCTCGTTCTCGTCGTTGACGGACAAGTTGCGTATGCAAACTACCGCCTGCTCCTGCACCGCCGCGTTCTGGCTGTGGAGGAGGGCGACGAGAGGCGGGAGGCCGAGGTTCTGAACGATAAGGTTCTGGTTCTCGGCATTGACCGACAAACTTCGCAGCGCACCAGCCGCATGCTCTTGTGCCCGCTCGTTCATCGAGTGTAGCAGGGCGATGAGGGGGACCAGCCCTCCCTCCTCTACGATCAGCACCTTGTTCTCCGCGTTGACCGCCAGGTTCCTCAGCGTCCATCCCGCCAGCTCCCTGATGCTCTCCTCCCTCGACCGCAGCAGCGCTATGATGTGAGGCAGTCCTCCCTCCTGCACAACCCTGACCTTGTTGTCAGGGTTGACGGAGAGGTCGCGGATACATCCCAGCGCCTGCTCCTGAACCCGACGCTCGGAGGAGCGGAGGAGTGTAATGCAAGGGTGTAGAGCCCCTGCCTGCACGATCTTGACACGGTTCTCGGCGTTCATCGAGAGGTTCCACAAGGCCCCAGCCGCTTGCTCGTCCACATCGTCGTTGCTGAAGCAGAGGAGCGAAACCAGCGGCTGGATCGCACCCTCCTGTGCTATCCTCACCTTGTTCTCTACGTTCATGGCCAAGTTGCGTACGGCTCCTGCCGCCTGCGCCTGGATCTTGTGGTCCGAAGAGCGGAGGAGCGCGATGATAGGAGCAAGACCTCCGTCCTGCACGATGTTGACCTGGTTGTCGCTGTTCTCCGCGCAGAACCTCAGGGCAGCGCACGCCTGCTCCTGCATCTTGGGGTCGAAGCTCCGGAGGAGGGCGATCAGGGGAGGGAGTCCTCCCTCCTGGGAGATCTTGACCTGGTTCGTGGAGTTGGTGGAGAGGTTGCGGATGGCGATGACGGCGCTGGCCTGGATCTTGCTGTCGCCAGAGCGGAGGAGGGCGATAAGGGGAGGGAGTCCTCCCTCCTGCACTATCCTGACCTCGTTCTCGCTGTTCATCGAGCAATTTCTCAGCGTAATGGCCGAGGCTTCCTGCAACTTGGCATTCGCCGAGTGTAGGAGGCCGATCAGAGCCGGTAGAGCTCCACGCTGAACGATCTTGACCTGGTTGTCTGTGTTTGAGGACAAGTTCCTGAGTGTGATACATGACTCCTCCTGGACCCTCTTGTTAGTCGATCGCAGCAGGTTGATCAGCGGCGTCAGCCCTCCCTCCTCCACCACCAGCGCCTTGTTCTCTGCGTTGGCAGAGGAGAGGGTGTTGATAATAGCCGTCGCCTGCTCCTGGATCTTATCGTCCCTGCTGCGCAGCAGCGACACCAGAGGGCCGATCACTCCCTCCTCCACCATCCTCTCGCAGTTGGACTGGATCACCGACAGGTTCCGCAAGCACATGGCCGCCTGCTCCACCACCTTCTTATCCTGAGAGGTGAGCAGGTCGATGAGGGGGATCAGAACTCCGGCGTCCACCATCTTCAGCCCGATCGCCTCGTTCACCGCCAAGTTTCTCAGCGCCGAGGCCCCGAGCTCCTGCGTCTTGGGGTCGTCGGACTCGAGGAGGTTGATGAGGGAGGGTAGCGCATTCTCCTGTAAGATCTTCTCCTTGTTGAGAGGGTTGACGGCAAGGTTCCTGATACACCCACATGCTTGCTTCGCTACCTCCGGGTTGGGGGAGTTCAGCAGCCCTATGAGCGGAGAGAGCCCTCCCTCCTGCACGATGCTGAGCTTGTTCTCTGCAAGCACCGAGAGCGAGTACAAACACCCAGCAGCCTGCCAGCAGTTGTCAACTCCGATGTCGCTGCCAGTCATGCACGCACCTGCTCCTGGCTCCCTTCGTCGGCACTTCGCAGCATGCGAATGAGGAGGGGGAGGCCGCCCCTCTCCACGATCTTGATCTTGTTCTCGGTGGTCACCGAGAGAGACCATAGTGCTGCTGCTGCTCCTTGCTGGACCGTCTCCTCTGCCGATCGCAGCAGCTCCACCACGGGAGCGATGCCCTGGTCTTGCCCTACCTTGATGAGATGCTCCGCTGTGCCAACGGCTCAGGGGAGGGAGAGCAGGAGGGTCGAGAGCTTACCGGACGCATTCTTGGAAGCTCTTCCAGCCATCTTGAAGCTTCCTTACTTGGCAATCACAAGTCCTTCTTATCAGAGTCTAACTGTGTTGCACTCAAGTCTCGCCGACAGCATGGACAAAGTCATCTGAAGGAACGCTCAGCGTTTAGCTTGTGAGAAACGTTAGCATTCATGAAACCATGGAATGACTATCTTTGAATCGATTCCTCTCCTCACTTTTTCCTTCCGCTCCTGTTCTTCTTCCTGTTCTCCTCCACTCCTGCTTCTCTTGTACTCCTCCTCCTCCTCCAACACCGCAAATGCGTAATTATTTGGTCTCAGGGGGCAAAGCAGCGATAATGTTTGGCGTGTTGCCACTGGTCTCTTCATCTCCTATTGAGATCCCTTTTATCGTAGTCTTGCGATTCTTGCTTCTTACCCTTGATGTCTGGCCTTCCGACGGAGGGGAGACGCTACTTCCTTGGGGATATGGGAGATGTG